GTCTGCAGGCTGACGCTCTAACCGCTGAGCCACACTGGCCAGGGCTCTCTTTGTACTTCTTAAGAGCACTCCAGAATCCATGTTAAATTAGTTGAAATAATTTCAGGTAGCTTTCTTTCATGTCTTTTGGTTTTGTTTTTTTAATCCAGAATGATCATTGTGAATTGTTATTTTCCGTCTCTTGGGTCCTCAAGCCCTGGCTGCATTGGCAGCCACAGAGTCTAATTTGTACGGCTGTGGTCTTATAAGATTGCCACAGGCTCTACTGGATTATCTCTCCATCAGCAGCTCTGTGCCCAGATTCTCCGCCTCTTGCCTGGTGCCAAGAATAAGAATGACAAATGCCTTAAGGGTTACAGTTTGTAGAATGTTGGGTTAGTTCTCTGTTGTTTCCTTCTCTCTAGGATTTTAACCCTTCAACTCTTGATGGTCTCAGTAGCTCTCCAGTACCTACAAATTGATTTTTAGTTTAATTTTATCAGGCTTTCTAGTTGTTCCTGGTGGGAGCATATAGTCATTGGGAGCAGTAAGCACAGTTATTGGCTTCTCCATCATAGCCAGTAACTATGGCTAAGTCTTAATGTTTTATTTTAAAAAACAAAACAAAAACACAGTAAAATATGCCTGAGAAAGTAATTTGAATACAAAATAAAATTTATGCAAATAGTAATAAAAAGTTACCTCTCTTGTGTCCAGTCTTCTTCCCCAGAGACAAAGTTGTGGTTTCTTATGCACCTGTCTCTATGTACCGTGTATACAGATGCACATGTACATATCTATATCCTTCTTGTAACACATTTAAAATTTTAATTTTGAAAGACTCCAAATATGCTGAAAAGAATGGAGAATATAACAAAAATCCTGTACCCACAATCCAGGTTTAAGAAATGTTAACATTTTACTATATTTTAGACCCTCTTTTTTTTTCTAAAGAAATAAAATGATGCCCTGGCCAGTTTGGCTCAGCGGTTAGAGTGTCGGCCTGCGGACCAGAGTCCCGGGTTCGGTTCCCGCTAAGGGCACGTACCTCGGTTGCAGTTTGTCCCGGCCCCGGTTGGAGTTGTGTGGATGGCAACCACTCGATGTGCCTCTCATATCGATGTTTCTCTCTCTCTCTTCCTCCCTCTCTCCCTCCCTATCTGAAGATAAAAGCAAAAATGTCCTCTGGTGAGGATAAAAAAAAAAAGAAATAAAATGATGTGCTGGCTGGTGTGGCTCAGTGATTGAGCATTGACCCATGCACCAAGAGGTCACCAGTTCAATTCCTGGTCAGGGCACATGCCCAGGTTGTGGGTCCGATCCCCAGTGGGGGGGCATGCAGGAGGTGTCCATTCAATCTTCTCTCTCATCGATATATATTTTTTTTAATTAATTAATTTTTTTGTTACAGATATTTCTCCTTTTTTACCCCATTGGCATCCCCCTCCCCACCCCACACCCACCCCGTCTGCGGCTTAGTTGTCCATGCCCATTGGTCATGCATACATGCATATAAGTTCTGTGGTTTATCTCTTTCCACCACCCCACCCCCTCTTCTGACGGATGTCAGTCTGTGCCCTACTTCCATGTTTCTGGGTCTACCATATTCCTCAGACTGTTATGTTCATTATATTCCATATATAAGTGAGATCATGTGGTATTTGTCTTCTCATCAATATTTCTGTCTCTCCCTCCCTCTCCCTCTTCCTTCCTCTCTCTTTAAAAATCAATAAAGAGCCCTGGCCGGTTTGGCTCAGCAGTTAGAGGGTTGGCCTGCGGTCTACAGAGACCCGGGTTCGGTTCCCGCTAAGGGCATGTACTTCGGCTGCAGTTTGTCCCCGGCCCTGGTCAGGTCGTGCGGGTGGTGGCCACTCGATGTGTCCCTTTCGCGTCGATGTTTCTCTCTCTCTCTTCCTCTCTTTCCCTCCCACTCTATCTGAACAAAATATCGAAAAATGTCCTCGGGTGAGGATAAAAAAAAAAAAATCAATAAAGAAAAAAAATTTTTAAAAAGAAATAAAATGACATCATAAAATTAAACCCCTATTTTTAAAATCTACCAATTTTTTACAATTCTTTTTCCTATTCAGTATGATTTTCAAGATTTATCCATGTTGACACACGCAGATCCCTGCTTTCATTTTACTTTGTGGGTGATACTCCTCTGCTTCCTACGCTGCCAGCCACCTTATTCTCCTGTTGTTACTTGTTTTGTCTTTTTTGCATAAGTGTTAACTTGTACCTTATGTTCTGGACTTTACATTTTTTACAAAACTTCTTTATATTTTGCACTCCTTCTCAACTTATGGAAAAAATTATATTGGGGGACAATTTTTTTGTTGTTTTTTAAATCCTCGTCCGAGGATATTTTTTCATTTATTTTCAGATAGAGTGGGAGGGAGAGAGAGAGAAACATTGATGTGAGAGAAATACAGCAGTTGGCTGCCTCCTGTAGGACCCTGACCAGGGCTGGGGACCGAACCGCAACCGAGGTACATGCTCTTGACTGGATCAAACCCGAGACTCTTGGGTCCGTGGGCCGCCGCTCTAACTGCTGAGCCAAACTGGCCAGGGCAGGAGACACATTTTTAATAAGAATCTTTAATATCATAATGCTGTAGTGAGGTTTGTACAGAACATTTTGATAAATTCTACACATTTTTTGAACCTTTGGTATGTCCCAAGTTTTGTAAATAGTCCGTTTAAGAAAAATATAAATTAGCCTAACCCTGGTTTCTTTACCTAAGTACTTCATCTATAATACAATGTAATGTAATTAGTTAATGTAACATAAATATTTCTCTTTTAAAATGTTTTTTTTTCTCCCATTCTTTTCAGGACTTTAAAGTAATTTAGTTGTAGACCAGCTTTCTTTTCATCTTTTTATTTAATTTAGCAATTCATTAGACTCTTTAAGAACGACATTGCATATTATTCTCTTATTTCTCTTCCTTTTTTAAGGCCTGCATTTTAATCAATTAAAATTTATTGATTCATTTTATGTGCTTAGCACTTTGCTAAGTATTATTGTGATATTAATGGAAATAATTAATGGCCCACGGGGAGGTTAAAATTTAATTGAAGAGAAATAAATTGCTCATTAGACCACATGAAAGTGCTAATGGCGTGAGGTGAGGTTTGGAGTGGACCATAAAGGATGATGGAGATTGGATTTTAGAACGCAGAGAGGGGAGGATCTTTATGACCAAGAATTCGGCTGTGAATACAAGAGTGGTGATGAATGAAGAGTTTAACCATTTTGTAGCTGAGGGTATACATTTGGGATAATGGGAAATTAAATAGAGTAGAACGAGACGGTCATCAGGAGTCTAGGAGTTTGGAAGTGATGAAGTCGGCAGTGAGGTGCCCACGTCAATTTCATGTAAGTTAGAACATGCCCTCGGTATGTTAGGAGGCTGAGTGGCTCAGAGCAAGGGAAGGGAGATTAACTGGAAGGATTTTATCAGAATTTGGAAAATTCACCTCAGATGCAGGCTTCAAAGAGTGCTCCTGCCCTCTGGCCCAGTAATCCCACTTCCAAGACTTTCAGGGTGATACTCCAAAATGCGTGGCGTCTGGAGGACAGGGAACTAGGTTGTGGCAACATTTTGAAGTAACTTCTCTTTCATGTGTTCCTGCTTCCCGGTACCTTTCTCCAGATCTTAGTGAGTCCCAGGGTGGTGAATTTCGAGGGTCTGAAACAGGAGTGGGGTCCCCTGAGCCGAAAGCTCTGAGAGCCTTGGGTGCAGGCGCAGACCCTCATTTAGGGGCCCCCTGGAGAACTCCAGAGGGCTTGTAGATGAGCTTCTGGGGTTCATGAACTTTCAGAAATGATATGTAAGATTCCAGATTATGTGCATTTTCTAGACAGAGTTTCAGGTTCTGAAAGAAGCCTGTGACCCCGCCCAAATTAATAGCATTGCTTAAAAGATTCATTTCCTGCAAGTCTCCATCTTATCTCTTCAGAGACTGCTAGGACCAACCAGAAGAAGGGTATGTGATCATTTTATGTTGCACTGTATGAAATTGCTGATATTTAATTTAGTAGCTTTTGACATAGAAAAATATCAATATTGTGATCTAGCCTGGTATAGCCTTAAATAACTTTTTAAATGTGAAAGTATTCTGTTTAGGACTATAGGTGTTATAGTTAAGCAGTATATTTCAGTTTTGTGATTAAATATATTTCTTTCAGTAAAGTTATTGAGTTCTGGTTATATTTCCTCAATTTTTACATTCCATGAACTTAAATGTCTTTAGCTGTAGATTTTCTCAGTTTATGCAGTTTAAGGAGTATTTCTTTTGTGGTAAAACAAAGACAGGGAAATGATGGAAAGAGAAATGAAAGATAGGGAGGCTGAAAAAGGTAGATGGTACGGCAAAGAATGGCAAATAGGTTCAAATTGTTTACTAACTTTGGTTGTTGGTTAGGCTCTGCCTGGGCTCTTTGATAAAGACAGTTCTTGGCGTCTGGCTCAGGTACAAAGCGTCATGATGGCTCTGCCTGGTCTGTTTCTGCCAGGACCACTGGGGGGCCGAGCAGGGGGGGTATGAGCAGGGGGGGCCGAGCACTGGGGGGTCGAGGGGGGGGGCTGAGCAGTGGGGGGCCGAGCAGTGGGGTCTGAGCAGTGAGGGGCCAGGCGCTGGGGGGCTGAGTACTGGGTCTGAGTGGCTGGACTGCCATCCCTGTTTGCTCTGCTAGTATTTATGCTTATTTCATCAGAATTTCTTTGTTAGCCAGAATATTAACTTTTCTTGAAAATGGTGCATTATCTGACTGTCGTAACAGTAACTTGGCAGTTGAAACTTTGAGTCAAGAGAACCAAATTTAACTATAAGCTATTTCTTGGAAGAGTTCAGATAACCAGTAATAATATAATTTAGCTCAATGTTAATTTTTTTGTTTTGAATTTTCTCAATTCTTACCATTCTTTAATTTTCATTTAGGAAACAACAACAATAAAGCTTATAATGGAAATGAGGAAACATTTTAAACCTAACCTTTTTGTTTTTGTTTGTAGGTTGCTTTCCGATTCTAAACAGCTCGACCTTTTAAGAAAAGCAAGATCTTATATAAGACAGGGAAAGTATGATGAAGCAGTAAGTACCAGGCCTTGTATCTATAAATAGCTAATTACCATTTTGGGTGTGTGTGGGGGGGTACTGTGTGGCAAAGGAGAGCAAGGTGGGCAGGCCAGAGAGCTTTCTCGAGCCCTCAAGGAAGGCTGACTTTCCCAAGTACTGCTTTAGCCATGGGCATGCTTCTCGTACTTCAGATGGTGGTATGGGTAGACTTTTTTGAGCTAGCATTGGAAAGGAACAGTTGCTGTTTTTTATAATGAAAGAGTATACCCCAAGTTTCTGTCACTCTAATGCATAATATTTTAGAATGTGATATATTTGTACGTTTGGCATTATCAGCACACTACCAGAAGTCTGCTGATTCATATAGAAGCTTTGACTTTTCCCAGCCCCTACCACACTATGCTTTTCATTAATTTCTTTGTTAAATGCTCATATAATTTTTTTAAATTTTATTTATTGATTTTTTTTTTTTTTTAGAGAGAGAGAGAGAGGAAGGGAGAGGGAGAGACAGAGACAGAAACATGGATTGGCCACCTCATGCATGCCTCCCACTGGGTATTGGGCCCACAACCTGGGCATGTGCCCTGACCAGGAATCGAACCGGTGACCTCTTGGTGCATGGGCTGACGCTCAACCACTGAGCCACACTGGCCGGGCAAATGGTCATATAATTTTAAAGTAGGAAAGAATTCTGATCTTAGTTTCTAAAATTGCTTAAGTAATACCATGCATTTCTAATGCTTATTTTTGTCATGGTTTTAAAATAAACTATTCTCCTCTGAAATATTAAACTATTTTAATGATATTTTATAAGTGGCTTTGATAATCTAATATGAGAAGAGTAAAAAATGATATACAGTGGGCATCTCCACTATTTGGGACATATATTAGAGAGCCGATAATTTCCACAAAATGAATCATTTTGCATCACTACACATCTCATAGTTTACATTTAAGGTGCCTTTTCTTATCAAGATTTAAAAGTTCGTTTTATTCAGAAATTTTTCTTTTATTTTGCAAGAAGATTCTTGAACAATTAAAATCTCTTTTGATCCATCATCTATAGTTACTCTAATTTTAATCATTTTTCTCCCTTGTAAACTTAGGTTTCTTATTCATTCCATGTGGCAAGTTATATTTTTTTTTCTCTCTAGGTCTTCCTTTGCAAGGAGCTGATTCATCTCTCACTGAAAGGATTGTCCTATTATCATACTTACGACAGATTCTTTTTAGGCATCAATGTTCTGCTTAGTTTTGTGGGATGGGCATCTTATACCTCTTTGTTGATCATCAAGTTTCATTCCAGCCTTAGCAGAGGTGTTAGTAAAGAAGTTAAGGTATGTTTGTAAAACCTCATAAAGATTCGGGCAATGGTATAAAATCATTAAGACTGAGGAAAGAAATTGAATGAACTCATCTGTAAGGAGTTCATACAAAGTGCAGATTGTACTAAGCTAACTCTTATCTTTCATTTGCTTTTGCTGTATTGGGTCTTTATTCTCAGTTTTGTCTATTTCTTTACTTGAGAAAAGGGTGTACTAATGGCTCTCCAACCTAAGAGGGCTATAAAGATAGCTGTATAATTTAAATTCTCCTGTGGCATTAATTGTTAATTTTCTGTTTTTTTATAATTATTTAGCATGTCATAATTCTTCCATATCTTTCTAGTACTAGTGGTCAGAAAAGTACTTCAAAGCAATATATTTAAATTATTGTGATATTAAACGATTAGGAGCTAGAAAGCAATAAAATCACTTTTTCAAAATGTCCCTTTTTAAATAATTGTTTTCCTAGAACTATTTTTACCTTCTTTCAATTTTCTGAAATTATTACGTATTTCCAGCACTTGCTGTTTATCCTCATTTTGAGAATTTATTCCTAGTTTACTATAATTTCAATACAAAAAACCCCACCTCTTTAATAATACTTCATATTAACCGAGAATATGTAACACTGCGTAATGATTTTACTACGTTAACACACTTGACGCTGTCCAAATACATCGCTGTCATTTACCAGGGAGACTGTGCCGCTTCATCTCCTTCCCTTCATTCTCTAATGATGACTGATTACCATGTCTGAATCTTCTACCAAGTAATATATTCGGATGGTGTATTATTAATAATAACAGTCTATGATTTCCAGCGGTAGCTCTTCCATTTTTATATTTTATTTTTCTGTAATGGAAGAAAGAATAGTAGTATGCATTCCAATTTCTTCTAGTGTTTTAACGCCTCTTAAATAATTTCCTCAGTGCATTCATTATTAGAATGCATATGAAATTGGCTAGCATAGGAATCATTTCTTATATGGTAGGAAAGGAGACAGAAACAACCATGTTTTAGTAATTAGTCTATCTAGGCATTCTGCTTCACACTTAAAACTGATTCTGCCACTTTAAACTCGTAACAGTGCTACAGTAAGCATTATAATTTCTCTTCACAAAAGAGGAAGCTGAAGATGTTTAAGTAACTTCCCATAGGACACTTAGCTGGGACGTGGAGGAATCATGCTTTAAATCCAGAGCAGTCAAGTGCTTGACGCTGCCTTCTCATGTTTACCTTGATCTTCAGGTCATTGAGAAATGATGCGATGTTTTTAGACTGCGATGTCAACAGGTTTCGTAGCCAACAGTTCTTCATCCATTAATCGGATAAGGCAGCAAGCGTTTAACTGAGTGTTCAGAACAACGCTGGATGCTGCATAGGCTGTACAAAGAAATATAAAATTCAGAGTGTGCCCTCAGGAGTTTAGAATTAAATAAAGTACCAATGCATGTCACGCATAACCACCTTATCAGATATATGTCCCTACACTAGTACGAAAGACAACTTTCACGTTGAACAACTTTAATGTCTGTGAAGTGTGTGAGTGTGATACAAAGACTACCATATTTTAACTGAAGGAGTGCTCACTGTAGCTAGGCTGACGGTAACAGAGAAATCTAAGTCTCTGTGGGGATTTGACCCTGCAGGGAGAGGAAAGGATGAGGACTAGAGCAAATTAAATGACATAAACTGAGGCGAAGTTGAGAAAACGGCTCATTATGCTGGGGTAAGAGTAATAGTTACTGAGCCCCACTGTTTCTGGACTCTCCCGGGTGCTTTCCATGTGTTATTCAGTAAGCTTCACACTACCCGAAATTTGGTGGTTATGAGTCTCATGATACGGATTTTATTATGGGGGAATTTAGGCTCAGAGAGATAACATGTTTTCTTCATGATACTCCAGTATTAAATGACAGAACTAATCTTTTTTAAATTCATGCTCTTTCTACATCAGGCTGCCTTTAAAACAAATAGTTCAATTTGGGTAGAATGTGGGAGGTTTGTTCAAGGGATAGTACTAACAATGTGGATTAGGCTGAAATAATCAAAGGCTTCTAATGCTAAACTATAGAACTTATTTAGTGAAGAGTTAGTGCACCAGTTAGAGTTCAACCAGAGAAACAGGACCAGTAGGATCTATGTAGGAAGAGATACAGCATAAGAAATTGGCTTCTGTGGCTGTGGGGGCGGGTTGGGGGCGGGTTGGGGGCTGGTTGGGGGCTGGTTGGAGGCCATTTGGGGGCTGGTTGGGGGCCGGTTGGGGGCCGGTTGGGGGCTGGTTGGGCAAGCACCACGTGCACAGGCCAGGTCTGCAGGCGGCAGCCTGAGCTTCAGGTGGGAGCTGCCCCTGCCTGGCAGGTGCGCTGTCTTCGGGGAAGCCTCCGCTTCTGCTCTTTCCCTTGGCTGAGTCAGTCAGGCTCACCCAGATCATCTAGGATAGTCGCCCTTATTAAAGCCAACTGATAGGGACTTCAGTGACCTACAAGATTTAATCACAGCAACACCCCAATTATGTTTGATTGAATAACTGGGGACTGTAGTCTACCAAGTGGACGCATAAAACTGACCATTACGGTTGAGGTCATTAAAGTGTTTTGAACCCTGTGCTTGTTTGCGAACACATCCTGATTCCTCTCAGCAATGTGGCCGTCTAGTGAAGGGACACAGTCTAGAGTTCCGAAGGAAGACGCGTGCCCACAGTCTAGCAGTAACTGGAGGGCAGCACGCGGTGCGGTTGGGAGGTACCTTGTGCGGCTGTGCACACGCACTGTAGCACGCCGCTAGCAGGTGGGTGCAGGGAGGCGTTGCAGAGGAGGGTACTGCCAAAGGAAATCTTCAAGGGTGTGAAGGAGAACCCAGTGGAACAAAGGAAGAGGATGTGCCAGGTGAGGAGTGGGCTACCTGGCCTCCTGGGAGGCCCAAGTCACTGCTAGGGCTACAGTCTAGCCGCTGTAGGGGAGCGAAGAGGACCTTGCAGTAGCATCATCCTCCATCGCCTGGTGAGGAAACAGCTTTAGACGAGCTAAGTGCTTTAGTCAAATGGCCAAGCAAATAGAAAGGCAGCACTGGAATTAAATTTAGGTCTGACTCCAAAGTTCATGTCACTTGTACATGACAGTGTCCCCAGATTATACAGGTTTCTCCTTGAGCACTATTATAGTCAAGTCTGCAGTGAATATTCTCTCTAACGTAATTTGCCGCAGCCCCCTTAATTGAACTCTGTATTTAACTTCTACATACTCCTCTCCTTTGCTTTTGCCAGTCCAGATATCTTTTGCTTTAGAACTAACTATCCTTATTTGCTACATGCCTTTCCCTTGGTTTTTTTTAATTTTATTTTATCCTCACCTGAGGACATTTTTTTGGTTTTTGTTCAGATAGAATGGGAGGGAGAGAGAGGAAGAGACAGAGAGAGAAACATCGACGTGAAAGGGACACATTGAGTGGTTGCCACCCACACGACCCAACCAGGGCCAGGGACAAACTGCAACCGAGGTACATGCCCTTAGCAGGAACCGAACCTGGATCTCTGCAGACCACAGGCCAACGCTCTAACCGCTGAGCCAAACTGGCCAGGGCTTTCCCTTGTTTTTTTATTACCTAGTCAAGTCCTGAAATATTAACCCCTTAAGCCGAGTCCCATGATTCAGTCTCTACCTGTATGGTTTAAACCTCTTGAAGGCTAACATAGAGTGTGCAATCTAAGAAATATTTGTTGATTGAAGGAATAAGTACAATGTACACAGCATGGTTCATTATCATCAGGTGTTTTTTTGAGGGGGAGCAGGGACACAGGAAACAATTTGTGACAAAGTAGAAAATGTCCCCTATTATTGTTATTTAAAATCTTTATGATTTTTACTTTAGCTGAACCAAATTCTGGATGATTTACTTTACTACATGTAGATCCTATTTGTAATGTCTATTACATTATGTGCCAAAGGTTTAGATAATTATGTCACATTGTACTGGTTCTAGAAAATCCCTCAAGTATTTTTTGTTTTTTTGGTACTTTTTTAAACTTCTTTTCATATTATTTTACTATTCTTGAAATGATATGAAACAGATCCCGATTCTTAATGAACACCTGCCTCAGCTACCTTCAGCTTTAGAGACCCTGTTTGTCCCCATCTATCAGATTTGCTCCTCCTTGTCCCCTTTTTGCTGTGGCACCTCCTTCCTGTCTCGCACATCTCCATTTCTGGGGCTGTTCACTGATAGGTTTCTGTGGTCACTGCGGGGACTGATGTGAAGAAATAGAGGAGAGACTTAAAATGAAGGTAACAATTGCACCCATTGTTTAGGAAGCAGTAGTAATATCCCTGGCATTTTGTTAAGCTCTTTGCATAATCTTATTAAAGCATCACTAGCCTTGATAAATAGATATGGAATTATTGTTCCCATTTTATAGAGAGGATGAAATTAAGTCTCAGAAAAGTTTTGTACTTTGCTCATACTCATAGTCATACAGTGAGCAAGTGACAGCACCCACGGGCCATCTCTGGTGACTTACACTGAGGAGCTTATTCGGCAGGTGTTTGGGAAAGGAGACATGACTGAACGAACCTACTGTGGATGGGCAATGGAGAGCAGCGTGGGCAGCGTGTCAAGCTGGAGTCTGAATAGACAGAAGCATTGTTCCAAGTGAAGATTAGGTCCCACAGTTTATTGTGGATTCAATGGGCTTTTGTGAGCTAGTCACAGAACTCAATCAACATTTATTAAATTATTACTAAGGAGAAATATGTTCCGAGTTCTGAGCAACTTGCTTGCAAACGGCTGAAACAGAGTCACTTTTAAATTGAGAATTGCCTTATTGCAGCCATCCAGGCTGTCCAGCTTTTTCTCCTATATTGTGCTTCTCCGATGAAAGAAAAATGCATTTCTTAGATTCATCATCTACTTGTAGAACCATCGAAAGAAATACATTTTCTTCACTGTATAAAACCTCTTAAAAGCCCATTGGTTGGCATGAGTTTGGAAGTGTTTCAATGTTTTGTTTGATTTTCAGAAACCAAGTCATCTCCTGCTGTGTAGTTTTGTGGCTATTGGCATTTTAATGGCGTTTTTCCTGCTGATTCAAGCCTGTCCCTGGACTTATTATGTGTATTGTTTGTTGCCAGTGCCTATATGGTATGCGGTTCTAAGGGAGTAAGTAACACATTTTGCTGTATTGTTTTTCACTTCACTGTCAGATAAATCTGTATTTAAAATGCATTAGATTTCTGTAGCATAGTCATCAACCATATTTATAATACCCTTAAATCTCTAAACCCGCACACTTCACTTATAACAGCATAAATGTTGCATATAAGTATCCTTTTTGTGTTGCCTTTTAAAAAAGTAATTTTAGAGAGGAAGGGAGGAGGGGGAGAGAGAGAAACATCAGTTTGTTTTTCCATTTATTTATACATTCATTGGTTGACTCTTGTATGTGGGTTGACTGGGATCGAACCCACAACCTTGGTGTATTGGGATGGCACTCTAACCAACCGAGCTACTTTTTTGTTTGTTTCATCTCTATTTCCTTAGGGAAGCATTGACCTTGTTTCCTTCCTTGTGTATCTTTTATAAGAAAAATCTGGAGTAAAAATAAAAGGGTTAATGTTGATTGTACTGTGCCCGGAGTAACTTAACATTTTGAACTTGTCTCATATATCTTAGTTTCTAGTGTCTCTTCATGTTTCATAAAGAGATTTGCACTTTTTTCCCCGTACCTATTTGCCTCTCCTTTTGTAGCTATCCAGTAAACCTGGATCAATGAAACTAGTTAAATCAGATCTACTGCTGTGTGCACACGAGACTAGTGGATGTTATTCCCACGTGCTGTGGTTCTGCCTTTAAGTGCCTCCTCACAAGCGGTACTCCAGTGGGTCCTTGCTGTCGTGGGAAACGTCAGCGCTCGAGTGCTCAGGCGAGTCTTAAGGACTTTAAAATAAAACCACCGAGACGTGAGACTGCTTCACATTCACAGGCAGCAAGAGTCAAGTTGCAGATCTTGTTGATTTATCTATTTGCACAGTAACCTAGGATTTAACTTAGTCTTGGGCATCTAAGCATCCTCTGAGCACACCAGACCCAGCCAGCTGACCAGGGAATGAGAGCCCAGAATAGGAGTATTTTCTTTTTTTTTTATTAAATTTTTTTCTTTATTAATTTTAGAGAAAGAAGAGAGAGGGAGAGATAGAAACATTGATGAGAGATAACATAAGTTGGCTGCCTCCTACATGCCCCCCACTGGGGATCAGACCCACAACCTGGGCATGTGCCCTGACGGGGAATTGAACTGGTGATCTCTTGGTGCGTGGGTCAATGCTCAACCACTGAGCCACACCAGCCGGGCCATAATAAGGGTATTTTCAGGGTTTGCCAGCATGTCTGCCCTGACACAATGTGTATTCTTGTTCTAATTTTTATTAACTCCAGCTTTGACCACTTCTTCCATCCTTTAAAAACATTGAAATGGCCCTGGCCAGTTTGGCTCAGCAGTTAGAGCATCGGCCTCTGTACCAGAGAGTCCCTGGTTCGGTCCCCGCTAAGGGCACGTACCTTGGTTGCAGTTTGTCCCTGGCCCCAGTTGGGGTCATGTGGGTGGCAACCACTTGATGTGTCTCTCTCACATCGATGTTTCTCTCTGTCTCTTACCCCCTTTCTCCCTCCCTCTCTATCCGAAGATAAATGCAGAAATGTCCTCAGGTGAGGATAAAAAAAAATTAAAATGTTGAAAATATCAAAAATAAAAATTAGCCCTGGCCAGTGTGGCTCAGTTTGTCAGAGTATTGTCCTATACACAGAAAGGTTCTAGGCTCGATTCTCACTCAGGGGCACAGATGGGAGGTACCCCATCAATGTTTCTCTCTCACATCAGTGTTATTCCCTCTCCCTCCCTTCCACTGTATCTAAAAATCAATGGGAAAATATCCTCGGGTGAGGATTAACATGAATAAATAAATAAAATAAAAAATTAAGAAGTTTAAAATATCAACATTTTAAAACGTAAGGCAAAATGACATTGACAAAAGAACATACTGTTACTTCTTCATTTAAATGAAATGGGGTTGCTGTAAATATTTAAATCAGATTTTTTTTCTGATGTCATTTACTCTGTTTTAAAATTTTTAGAATGAAAGGTTTTATCCTTGCAGAAAATTCTGTTTTACTACAGAATCCCAAGGGGTTCTGCAAGAGTAAAACCTTTTATTCTAAAAATTTTTAAACAGAGTAAATGACACTAGAAAAAAATCTTCCAGATCATTTTACAAAATCATCTCTTATCTCTCTCTGCTTGTTCACTGTTATGAACAAAAGAAACATTCTTCTTCTGCCTGGTGTTAGCTTTTCTTTTCTACTTGGTACCTTAGTAGTTTTGATAACATTATGTAGCCATTGTTTTAAATTAGAAAAAAGGTAATAAATCAAATGATACTGACGTTTATAATTACCTACTTAATAATGCACTACAAATGCAAAATTTTTTTTCCAGTAATGAAATATAAAAAGTACTCAAGTATATAATACATTTTAAATGGTTATGAGTTCATATTTAATTATAATTACTGTATGATTAGTGACATCTTAAAGTGGGTTCAGAAAAGGTTATTTAGCTCAGTAAAAAGTGCAATTAAGATTTTCCCTACTTAGATCAGAAAAACTTACCTTTATTTCATTAAGACAGTTGAGATATCAATATAAAATTAACCTTGGTGAGTTAAAAATTGTTTTTCAGTTTTTATTCATTTGGGTTCACTGTATTTTCTTTCTGATATTGTATCTGTAATTATATAAACATGAGTATGGTTAAGCTAAGACCAAACAAGACTTATTTATTGTCATTACTATTATTTAAAAAAAAGCAGATTTTTGTTGTTACTATCAAATTAATTCAGAAATTACATTTTTTCCCTAAAATACTTCTAGATTTCAAAAAAAAGATATAGGTCAGTAAAGCCATTGAAAAAAATCTATTAGAGATTCTCTTCATTTTACAATAATCTGTGAATTGAAAATGTCCTGATTATAGCTTTGCACAAAGTTTTTATTTTTGCTATATATGGCCTAATTTTTAAATTCAATATAGAGTATAAATAATCTTTTTATAAATAATCTTGCTAAACAGATACCACGTTATTCAAGACCTTGTCGCATCACTGTTGGCCTTTCCCCCAAGTCATTTTGTGGGATACCTGTTAGCCTGTGCCCTGGGAATTGAAGTATTGGTAAGTAATTTACCACATTGCAACATGTCATATCTCTTTCACATATACATAATTCCTTGGAAATGACCTCACTTTTTATTTCTTCTTTGGAATGCATTACTAGGTTCTCAGTTTTTTCTACCGTTACATGCTTACTGCTGGACTTATTATATTTGCGGGTTGGCCATTTATCACTCAGCTGTGGACTCGCGCAAAGGTACAAGTACTCATTTTGACACTGTACAGATTAGTAGCCACTTTGTTTTGATACATGTTTAACTTGGGGAGTTGTTCCTTTCTAAAGAAAAAGGTGGACTCTTATATGAAGAGTCTGGTCCCTTTGACAGGACTGAGGTTACTTTAAGGTTTCAGTGATTTGCATAGACTTTCATATCAAAATGAGCCTGTCATGTGGTGACTGAAATACTTTAGAAGCAGAGCTCTTGTGTCCTCTGAAGCACTTGCTAGACGGCTTTAGCCCCAAGTATCTGAATGATGGCGCAGCCGAGGACCTGCCCAGCACAGTGGTAGTGGTGCGGCGCTCTGAACTCGGATCACAGAAGTCACCTCCCTCCGGACCTTGAGCCACCTCCGCTCTTTTCTGGAGAAGTCTGTGTTCATGATAGATTATTTTTAAATATAATTACTCTTGATTTTCTTCCTTCCACCAGATAGAGAATTACATGTGCTTCTACAAAGAATAAGCTTGTGTTTCCATTTGGTGCTTTTCGATGGAGGTAGCAAGAAGACAGAAGTATCTCTCCCCGCTAGGAGAACTTGTAGAATTCGACAGTGGGATTTTTGATCATTTTTGTCATAAAAACAATAATTACTAAAGTGTTTTTGCCAATTTCCCTCCTGAGCTCAATCATTTGATTATGATTGCAGGCAAAATTGCTTATAGATATAATCAATATACACAAATTGGTGGAAGTACTTGCTTTGAAATATCAGGCCCAGGTTAAAAACCTGGCTATTTTATTTACTAATCATAGGCTGATACTGCATATACTTTAACATTTCTGAGCTGTTTCCTCATCTGAAACTTTGTGAATAATATAACCTATCTCTCAGCTTATTGTGAAACAATGAAGACAGTTTTCTCTACCATATTAGTCTAAAGATAACTTTTTTTTTTTTTTTTAGAGCATCTCCCTGAGTTGGATCTTCTTCTGTTTGCTCCTGGCAGTATTCCCAATGATGCCTGTTGTGGGACGAAAGCCAGATATCTTCCTAGTGTATGAACAATATTTTAACTTATTTTATTTTCAATACACTTGTTTTTCTCACTATGAAATATGAACCTGAACTTGATCATGAGTTTAAAATCACATGAACAAACTGGAAGTTAAAATATTAATATCAAATTAGTCATAATTCTGTCCCAGACTCTAAGAGGCATTAAGGTCCCTGTGCTGCCTCTGGGCCTTCACAAGAATGACATTGTGCCAAATTTAAAATACCGCCTCCCCACCCCACCACACCCCCACAAAAGTTCAGAAGCTTCCGTATCTTTGCATACTGGGGAATCTGGAAAAGCTTTCATATGAAAAAAATGTTCTATTGCCAAAACAAAAGGTCTGAAAGCCACTGATGTGATCTCTGTCTTGCCTTTGTGCGTGTCCATACTTTTAAGTCTTAGAAAAATGAAATTCCTGTTCTAATCTGAATGTAGATCTCCAGGGAAGAAAACTTTCCCACATTTATTACTTTAACTGTTAGAACATTCTCTATACCTTTCCTGAATTCTCCATGCTACTACTACACTTATTTCCTCTCAGTATTTCCCAAATAAATTTGTAACATAATTGGTTAACTTTGCTTTTACCTTACTTATCAAGTAATCTACTGGCTTTGTTTGTGTTTGTGCATGTGCTTGGCAAGCTAAACAATCATTATTTCATGTAACATTTTCTCTCTTATTTTCTAATTATGAAATCATCTTTGTTACTTTCTTTAGAACTCTGTATAAGCAATATTTTTGCACTTTAACCTAGTTTTTAATAGATGAGGGTTTGTCACTTTTAATTGAAGGAAGATTAACTAAATATTTTTTAAAGTATGTGATAATTTTAAATTATGTGAGATTTATAAATGAATACACTCATCTTATTTCTGTGAGAATACCAATATAGAATAGAGCAGGAATTACTCTAGGCAGTCAGTGTATTAGCCGAGCCCAGAATAATTGTATTGCATTCTAAGACCATACTAGCTAAGATATACTTTATTAGTGTTATTAAGTGCAAACATTTTGCAGCTGTCATAAACTATAAATAGTGTATGAGAAGAGGAATTCAAACATTTTCATATATTTCTGGCTTTCTATTGCTCTGTGAGCTGTTCTGTCACCTCGGAAGCCCATTTCCCTCCTGTCGTCAGCCTCTGCCTCTCTGTCTTGCTCGAGCAGTATGACACAGGTGGGCAGAATTTATATGCGTCAAGGAAAAGAAGTTGTACAAGTGGTCTCCGTTGAAATTTGCCACTTGCATATTCTAGTACAGACGAATTCAGGGTTAAAACATGAGATTTTGTTGTTTCTCTCTGCACTTCTTCATTTAAATTCCTCCGTGACTTAGTTTGTGTTGCTTTCCTCATCGCTGTTTTTGCACCTTCTTTATTTGACTCCTGGTTCATGGAGAAAGTTGATCTCTCACATCAACTCCTTTAGAAAATTACAAAGATTGGTATATGAAACATGGAAGGGTAAAATTAAAGGAAAAAGCAAAAATGTATACAACATAGCTGTAATATCCCTGTTACTCCAGGTGTGTACAGTAGAAACCTATTTGCCAATACAGTAAAATATTAAATTATGTTTTTAAAGGGAAAGGAAAAGGAAAAGCAAAAGCAAACAATCTCGATTGTGCATGGCTATTTTCCCTAAGTCAGCAGTTCTCAAACTGTGGGTCATGACCCTTTGGGGGTCAAATGACCCTTTCACAGGGGTCACCTAAGACCATCGGAAGACACATATTTCCAATGGTCTTAGGAACCGAGACACCGCTCCTCTGTCCGTCTCCAGGCGGGTCCGCCCACATGCAGACACGTCCACATACAGATACGCCCACATACGAGTACCTGGCGTGATGACATCGTCACGCCAACCCCGTCACATACACCTGTATTTGTACAGGGTGTATGTGACGGGGTTGGCGCCATACTGTATACTTATGTGGACCACTTAGGTACTTATGAGTCACAGATGTGTAGAGAGCTGCTACTGTGTTGAAGGCAGCAGTATTGGAGGAAAAACGACACTTCATGAATTATTTTATTTTATTTATTTATTTTTTTTAATCCTCACCCGAGGACATTTTTTAATTTTTTGCTCAGAACAGTGGGATGGAGAGAGAGGAAGAGAGAGAGAGAGAGAAACATCGATGTGAAAGGGACACATTGAGTGACTGCCACCCGCACGACCAACCAGGGCCGGGGACAAACTGCAACTGAGGTACACGCCCTTAGCGGGAACCAAACCCAGGTGTCTCTGTACCACAGGCCGATGCTCTAACCGCTGAGCCAAACCGGCCAGGGCTATGAATTATAATTACCGGGTAAATGTAAAATCATGTACTGAAAAATCATCAACTACTGCAAAAAAAAAATACCTGTACCATGGGAACTTAATTTGGATGCTGACTGGTTTTTTATATTCAGCTGTGGTTGATGTGAATTCTGCCCTCTTGTGATAGTAACAGGTATGTAAAAAAACAAACACACAGAATGGTAAATCATAGGAAACTTGAATGAACTATATTGACTAAACTATGCCATGTATCATCTTCTGTATTATTAAAGCTGTTGTTACATATTATTTTCATTAGCAAACCATCCCATGACAATGGATTGTGTAGAGAGGAATGTTAAGAAAATATAGTGAGGCCCTGGCCGGTTTGGCTCAGCGGTTAGAGCGTTGGCCTGCGGTCCGGAGAGACCCGGGTTCGGTTCCCGCTAAGGGCATGTACCTCGGTTGCAGTTTGTCCCCGGCCCTGGTTGGTCGTGCGGGTGGCAGCCACTCGATGTGTCCCTTTCACATCGATGTTTCTCTCTCTCTCTCCCTCCTGCTCTATCTGAACAAAGAATGAAAAAGTGTCCTCGGGTGAGGATAAAAAAAAAAAAAAAAAAAAGAAAATATAGTGAGGATTTTTTACAGTATGGTTTTACCTCAATAATTACAGTAGGAATTGAGAAACCGCAATGTGTTATTTGTTGTGAAGGTCTATCAGCCAAATCTATGAAGCTGACCAAACTAAAATGCCATTTTGATAGCAAGCATCCGAGCTTTGCCGGCAAGGATACCAACTATTTTAGAAGCAAAGCTGATGGACTCAAGAAAGCCAGACTTGACACTGGTGGCAAGTACCACAAACAAAACGTAGCAGCTGATGAAGCTTCATATTTGGTGGCACTCAGAATTGCCAGAGCTATGAAACCTCACACCATTGCTGAGGATTTACTGTTGCCAGTGGCCAAAGACATTGTTTGAGTTATGAACGGAGACGAATTTGTTACGAAATTGAATGCAATTTCCTTATCTAACAACACTGTCCGCAGAATAATAGAGACATGTCTGCTGATATCCTTGATCAGGTAATCCAGGAAATTAAATCTGCTCCACTTCCAATATTTAGCATCCAGCTTGAATCTACAGACGTTGCAAACTGTTCATAGTTACTGGTTTACGTGAGGTATATTAATGGTGGTGACTTTAAAGATGAGTTTCTTTTTTGCAAACCTCTTGAAATGACAACTACTACATGTGATGTATTGGACACAGTTGGTTTATTTCTGAAAAAGCATAAGATCTCTTGGGAAAAGGTTTGTAGAGTTTGCACAGATGGTGCTCCAGCTATGCTAGGATGTCAATCTGGATTTCAATGTTAGGTGCTGAATGAATCACTAAAAGTCATCGGAACTCACTATATGATTCTTTGGCAAATATTAGCAATGAAGACGCTGCCACAAGAGTTACAAGAAGTAATGAAAAGCATCATAAGTTCTGTCAATTTTGTAAAGGCGAGCACTTTAAACAGTCAACTGTTTTTGCAACTGTGCGAGTTGGATGTGCCAAACAATGCTCTGCTATTTCACACTGAAATGAGATGGTTGTTGACAGGAAAAATTTTAAAGCGTGTTTTTGAGCTTCATGATGAACTCAAAACGTTTTTTAATCAGAAGGCAAGACCGCAGTTCGAAGCACTTTTCAGCAATAAAAGTGAACTGCAGAAGATAACTTACTTGGTTGACATCTTTGCTATCTTGAATGAGTTAAATTTATCACTGCAAGGACCAAATGCAACATGCCTCAATTTGTCTGAAAAGATCCGATCATTTCATATGAAACTTCAGTTTTTGCAAAATAATTGGATGAAAATAAAATTTACATGTTGCCCTTCCTTACCTACTTTCTTTGAGGAACATGACATTGAACCAGACAAAAGGATGACGATGCTCATTTCTGTGAAAGAACACTTGCACATGTTTGCAGATGAAATTTCATTATACTTTCCAAATCTACCTGACACCCTATTTGCACTTGCCAGAAGCCCATTCACAGTCAGAGTTGAAGATGTTCCTGAGACAGCACAAGAAGAGTTAATTGAACTTATTAACAGTGATGCAGCGAGAACTGATTTCTCTACAATGCCAGTTATAAAATTCTGGATCAAGTGTTTGCAGTCATATCCTGTTCTGTCTGAGACAATGTTGCACCTTCTTCTTCCGTTTCCAACAACATATCTTTGTGAAACGGGTATTCCAGCTTGTTGGTTATCAAGTCTAAATACAGAAGTAGACTTGTTGTGGAAGTTGATATTTGTTGTGCTCTTGCAAAGACTGCCCCGAGAATTTCCAATCTGGTGAGAGAGAAGCAATCTCAACCTTCGCACTGACGTTGGCTTTTTATGTATAATGGAGCAATGTAGTTTTCTGTTGTTATATTTTTTTAAATTAATTAATTAATTAATTATTTTATCCTCACCTGAGGACATTCTTTCCATTTTTTGTTCAGATAGAGTGGGAGGGAGACAGAGAGAGAGAGACATCGACGTGAAAGGGACACGTCAAGTGGCTGCCACCCACACGACCCAACCAGGGCCGGGGACAAACTGTAACCGAGGTACACGCCCCTAGCGGGAACCGAACCCAGGTCTCTCAGGACCGCAGGCCAACGCTCTAACTGCTGAGCCAAACCGGCCAGGGCTTCTGTTGTTATATTAAGACTGTTACCCATGCTACACCATGCTTCAAGACAAAATTTTATTTATTTGTAATTAGAAATAAATAGTTCACAATATATAATTGCATATTGTTTTTGTAATTAATCACTATGCTTTAATTCTGTTCAGTTTGTAACAATGAAAATACATCCTGCATATCAGATATTTACATTACAATTCATAACTAGCAAAATTACAGTTATGAAGTAGCAACGAAAATAACTTTATGGTTGGGGGTCACCACAACATGAGGAACTGTATTAAAGGGTCGCGGTATTAGGAAGGTTGAGAACCACTGCCGTAAGTTACGGTTTTAAAGGTAATTCACGTGAACATATTACTGCCTGTTTTCCTTTATGATTCTCAAAGAGAGCGTTAGAAGAATCAAAACAAAAGTGATCGAGCAGTCCAGCTGGTGTGGCTCAGTCTCATCGCTGGTTTGATTCCCGGTCAAGGCACGTGCCCAGATTGTGGGCCCAGTTCCCAGTGGGGGGCATGTAAGAGGTGACCAGTCGACGTTTTGCTCATCGATATTTCTCTCTCTCTCTCTCTTTCTCTCCCTTCCTTTCTCTCTAAAATCAATAAAAGAAATAAAATAAAATAAAAAGATCGAGCATTTTCCTGGGAATTCCAGCTCACATCCTCCTGAGCATGGCCTTTTTGCTCATTCATGCTTCTCTTAACCTAACTCCTTTTCTCTTAGTTCTGTTATATTGCTGGGTTCCAGGTTCTGTCCTCAAAATAATTTCAGTTGTCCTATTTTACTTAGATTTTAGAAGGTGAGAAATAGAGCTCAATATTAGGAATCAACATTCCGTTTCCTTGATACTTACTCCTTCAACTTCAGGAACCATACTGTACCTGGTGCTCTTGAAAAACATAATTTCTTGTTTTATTACTGTACAAATGCCTCACCTCCATGCTACCTTTGTGACTGCTGAGGAAAGCAACAGGGTCAGTGACAGAAAGGAGCAGTCTGCCCTGCTAGGAATACCGTGAATTAAAAATGTAGATCGTTTCTGTATGAGTAAGTGCTCATAATAAAAAAATGTATACTTTAAATACTGTTTAGCTATCTTTTATATTGTTTTTGATACATTTGTCAAAGTCAAGATAAGAAATATGGTAGTTGGTATGCATTAAAGGTTTAAAAATCAAATTAGAGAAGGTAAAAAATACTTTAAAAGTATAAGAAGTTACAAGTAACCCCACCCCTATAATATCTTTATCCCAAGATTTTTATTCCTATTATAGCTTTGTATTCATTTTTCTACTTCATCTTGATTAAACCAAATGACTGAGAAGTTCTCTGTTAGAGTCAAATGTCTAATATTTTCATAATGCTCTGTGGTCCATTAGCATCTTAAGAAAATTTGAAATTGTGAATTGTGTTTTCAAACAGAATGGGTGCAGGCCTGCTGGTCCTTCTGCTGTCCCTGTTTGTTGTACCATCTCTCATAAAAAGAAAAGATGGTTTTGTAAGTGACAAGCTATTTTTACATCTGTTACAGGTTAGTTACTGATTGTCAACACTATCTTATACTATTGATATACCAAAATGTATCTTACGATTGTATTTAATTACATTGTTCTTAAGACGTCATCATGTTTAAGTTGCCCAGTACATACCAGCTAAAAAGAGAGTCTTCTATTTAAGATATAATATGGAAATATAATCTCTAAAAGTATGAAACAGCAGAAAGGTCAACAGAAGGCAGCTGAGAGATGCCCTGAGGGCCAGTTAAGGAGGTATGAGAGCTATCTGTACTGACCAAGAGTTGAGCTGAAAAGGCCTCCTCTAGATCGAGATTGTGTGTTGTCCTCATCTGGGCTGGGAAAAAGGTAAGCTTCTCTGACGTGAAGGCAGCCCCTGAGTATGCTCATATGAAGAATCGCCAATTTAAGACTTTAGACAATGTCCTTGAGAAAATAAACGTCACCTTGGTTGGTGGCTTTGGTGTGGTATAAAGAACAGTGAACTTTATCACTATCGAATCAGTTTCCAGTTATGTTGCATTCTACATGTGTGATTTTCAATAATAGAACTTTAGTCTGTGTTTAATCTGTAAAGTAGAGATAACATCTAATAGTGTTGTGAGAATTAGAGATTATAATGTCATACTATATAAATTGATAGGTAGATAATAATGGAAACCACATTTTTTCCTTTTAAACAATGAAAAAAACTTTTTTTTTAAAGAGAGAGAGAAACATTGATGTGAGAGAGACACATCGAGTGGTTGCCACCCACATGACCCCAACCAGGGCTGGGACAAACCAACCAAGGTACATGCTCTTAGTGGGAACCGAACCCAGGACTCTTTGGTCCACGGGCCGACGCTCTAACCGCTGAGCCAAACTGGCCAGGGTGGGAAAATATTTTTTTAACTACATCTAGCACACTGACCAAGAAAACCTTATGAGTCTAATCAAAAAATTAACTCAGAACAAAGCTGGGATAATAGAAAGTATTTCCAAGAACACTCTGAAATAATGCAACATTTAAAAGATGTCATTCTCGAAGAACAGCAGAGAACATATAAAAAGACAAGAAGTGTTTTGTCAAGGGTGCTGTCAAGCCATTGGAGTCATTTTAAATGCTACACTGACTGGCTTTTCACTGAAGCCCATAGCAGCTTTGACAGAATTCACCAGTAATACACAGTACTTTGGCAGAAGTAAATGTTTCTGAATTGCACTCTGTAGGAGCAAAGAATATCATGTGAAAATTCTTATGTACTTTGTTAGACATACCCCAAGCATAAGGTACATCTATTACAAAATTTCTCTTTATATTAACTTGATTAGTTTGCATTAATTCCTGAACTGTGTGCCATATTTTTCATTGATTCCAAGATACGCATCTTTTTACATTTTAACATATCTGAAATGAAAGTGTGTCTTACAGTGGAAAGGATCCTAGGATTGTGTCATAGCTTTATTGACAGCACTTTTTTCCTTCTTCCTTCACTAAAGATATAACAGCAAATTAAATATATATTTGGGATTTGGTGGTGAGTTTGCTAATCTGTTCTCTAAGAGGCTTTACATTGTCCACAGCCATATTTAGTGTATTTCTTAAAATGGCAATCCACTAGTTCAGGGGTCAGCAATCATTTCTCTAAAGAGCCAGATTGTAAAGATTTTAGGCTTTAGGGCCATTTAGAGTCTTTCGTAAATTTTCGTCTCTACCACTGCAGTGCAAAGGGAACTATAGGCAACATGTAAGTGAATGGGAGGGACTATGATCCAATAAAACAGTATTTCTAAAAACAGGCCCCTGGCATGTAAGCTATAGTTTACCAGCTAGTTTATGTATATTCCCTGAAGAATGTTGTACTCCTTGTATTCCAAGTACCAAGTGAGTACTCGGGCCACAGACCTGTGTTGACTGAATAAATGGATATGACTGTGAGTGAGAACCGGAGGTGGAAGGCACCAAACCACATACACTAAACTATATACACTTCACCCGCTGCATTATGATTTAGGAAAACTTTAAGGTTCCTCATGAATATTTCTAGGTAGAAACAGTGTGATAATGTATGCTGAAATACTTTTGAAAGTGTAAAATGCCTCATCTCATGCTTGTAAAGGATGACCTTGCTTAGGTTAAGACTTCTAACTCTCAGCCTTGGTGAGCTGGGCCAATCTCAGTGGCATTTTTGCCAGATCCCAGTTGTCCAAGCACTTTTTGAAATATTCTTATGAAAATCAGTCTCCCACCACCTCCTTTATTTATGTGTTTTGTATTTGTTTTCAGATGCTGGGCACAGTGCTTTCCATGTATATTGTGTATAGCACCCATAATAACCTACTTAAGAAACAAGGACTTCCTCTTTTTAATCAGATTGTTAGCTGGATAATATTAGGTAAGAGGTCAATCAAACCAAATGAGGTAACTTTACATCAAATCATTGTTAACAATTACCCATTTACATCTATATTATTATTATTGAAAGACAATTTTGTTACAGAAAAATAAAAATATTAATAAAAGGTATTCTATCTTGCTGGCATTTGACAAAGAAAATTAGAACCTTTATGAACATTCATATATTAATAGGAATTACTTGATAGACTGTTTATGACATGATAAGGCTGTATATTTATTCACATCTGATAAAAGTATGTGATTCCAGAAAACAGTATATTTTGTTTTCCACTTCCTTTGCAAATAATAAATCATCTATAACACTCTAAGACCATCAAATATCTTTTCATCAAGATTTATCCCTAGATTTAGTATCTGTTCATACGTCTTTCCTTCTCGAGTCTGTGTCATGATATACAAGTTGTTTTCTAGCTCGAACACTCCCACTGCAGGAATCCTCCCTTCCTTTCAGTTCATCCATCCATTCGCTTATCTATCTATTACTGTGGACCCAGAGGCTTGTCTTTTTCCAAGGTTTGTAATTCATTACCGTTGATATTTTGATGCTGTCATTTTCTCAGACTTAGCCAAAGAGAGAGCCTCTTCAAGCTAGCTTGTCAATAGGCCTCCTATGTTTTCCTCGGCACTTTTTAACTTTCTGGCATGAATAAGTTGTATACCTTATAAGCCTTACCTTATATCCACCCTGCCGTGGTGTGTGATCCTTTTAATGTATTGTTGAATTTGGTTTGCTGATATTTTGTTGAGAATTTATACACCTATATTCATTGGGGATATTGTTCTTCAGTTTCTTTCTTGTAGAGTCCTCTGGCTTTGGTATTAGGCTACTACGGGCTTAGTAAAATCACTTTGGAATTGTTCTCTACTCTCATTTTTTGGAAGAGTTTGAAAAGAATTGGCATTAATTATTTTTTAATTGTTTGATAGAATTTACCAGTGAAGCCATCTGGTCCTGGGCGCTTCTGTGTTGGGAGGTTTTCTACTGATTCAATCTCCTTGTTTGTTATCAGTCTGTTCAGATTTTTTTATTTCTTCCTGATTCAGTCTTGGTAGGTTGTATGTTTCCAGGAATTGTCCTTTTATTTTAGGTTATCTAATTTGGTGGCATATAATTGTTCAGTAGTCTCTTATGCTCCTGTGTATCACTATAATATCAGAGATACACAGAGTTAGGTTATTTATTATTTTTTAATATATGCATTTATCATTATAAACTTTTCTTTCAAAACTGCTTTTATAGCATGCCATAGGCTTTGGTATATTATGTTTGCATTTTCGTTTGTTTTGATATATGTTTTCTCTCTCTCTCTCTCTCTCTCTCTCTCTCTCTCTCTCTCTCTCTCTCTGTTGACCTAGGGGGTTGTTCTGGAGTGTATTATTTAATTTGTAGATTTTCCAACTTTTATCATGTTGTGATTTCTAGTTTTATACAGTTGTCTTCAGTAAAGATACTTGGTATGATTTCAGCAGTTTTCTTAAATTTGCTAAGACTTGTTTTGTGGCCCATTATATGATCTATCCTGGATAATGTTTTGTGTGCACTTGAGAAGAAGGTATGTTTTGCTGTTGTTGGGTGGACTGTTCTGTAGATTTCCGTTAGGTCTGTTTGATCTAATAGATGGTTAAGACTAATGTTTCCATGTAGATTTTCTCTCTGGATGATCTACCCATTGCTGAAAGTGGGGTATTGAAGTCTTCTACTATTATTGTATTGTTACTTGTTTTTCCCTTCAGATCTGTTAATATTTGCTTAATATATTTAGGTGCTCTAATGTTGGGTGCATATATATTTATTAATGTTATATCTTACTGATTGACCCCTTTATCATTATAAATGACCTTCTTCGTGTCTTTTTATTATTCTTGGCTTAAAGTCTATTTTATCTGATATAACTATTACTACCTTTTGCTTTCTTTGGTTTTCACTTGCATGGACTATCTTTTTCTATCCCTTTACTTTGAGCCTATTTATGTCCTTAAATCCGAAGTGAGTCTCTTGTAGACTGGGCATATATTTTGAACAAGATATTTCCTCCTTGGGATGAGGAGAGCTAGGTACCAGAGGATGGCTACCAAATGGTACAAGGCATGACATAGTTAACGCATAGGTAGGTCAGCAGAGTTTCCAGAGATCTCTTCCAGGCACTACTTTCCCACAGTCAGGCTCCAGGGAGCATTTTTCACTGACATGCTATGATCCACAAATACATTATATGTTCTGAAGCTGGTTCTAACCTTTGTCATTCAGAATGGGGACTCATTTCCCCTTTAGACCTCATCAGTCCTTTAGACAAAGGTGTAAAACGAGGATAGTAAATACAGTTTTACAGAAGAGGTCTCATTCGAACTGGCTTTTTAAATAGGAAATACTGTGTTATTTCTGTGTTAAAATATGTGTCAGGTGATGATAACCTTACTAGAACCACACCTCTGAAAAAAATTAGAAGGTATTTGTCCAAACGTATTATAAATATAACTTGCATGGTCTTAAATTTTGCTGTGACTTGACTTTGAATGCTATAACCTTTACATTTAACTTAGTAGATGTTGACTAGTAATAACAATAGCAGCTAACAGTTATTAAGCACCTGCTGTACCCAATGCACTATGCTCAGGGAACATTTTCTAGGTGAAATTGTATTTAAACTTGGCCACTTTTTACATTATCTCTACTTGACAGGTGGAAATACTGCTTACATGCCCCATGGTTAAACACTTAACAAGTGATCTTGCCAGGATTCCATCACAGGTCATCTGTCTCCATTCTCTGGGATATTTAACTCCGGGCATATTGCCATCCTAACTAGAGGAAGTAGGAAGTTACATACATTTCCATCCCCTCTCATCTGTCCTCCCACTGAAGTAGTGGCTTTCTTATGCTGTGGGAAAAGATTAGTTCATTTATTATGATTACTTTTTTAAAATATGATTTTATTGATTTTTAGAGAGAGGCTGGGAGAGAGATAGAAATATTGATGAGAGAGAAACATCAACATCGATTGGTTGTCTCCTGCACACCCCCTGCTGGGGATCCAGCCATGTGTCCTGACCAGGAATCAAACGGGAACCTCTTTGTGCATGGGTTTGACCCTGAACCACCGAGCCACACCAGCCAGGCTATTATGATTATTCTTATTACAATTCTCATGTGTGGTGAAATCCTTTTAAACTGTCTCTAATTTCCTAAGCACACTACAACTCTCAGTGAATATTTTGCAGTGGGAAAACCAGGAGGGGCGGGGTTAGAAAAAATCAATTTCTGGGGAGTAAGTGGTCTTTTGAACTAAATGCCTAATTAAGCGAAGAGTTATTGAATCTTGAAGAATATTTTTTTATTATTTATAGAACAAGTTATTCATTTAGGAGCTAATGTTATAGGGAGTGAGACTGAATGTAAATTGAGAAAATCTGAGCCAAAATTTGGTTGAAATGATGAAATGTCATTTTAATTAGAAGTAGGAAGTTTCAAATGTCTTACAGAAATGATTAGGGCAGATATAGCCTCACTGTAACGGTCACACAAACAGTAGGGTCATTTGTGATTATAGACTGTTCAGTGCTCCTGAACTCACAGGTCGTGTGCCTGGGACTGACCCTCGCGTGTTCCTTGCAGGCTCCTCCTTCGTCGTGCCCCTGCTGAGTCCCCGGAGCCTGTCCGAGCGGCTGTTCAGCATACTCGTCTCCTCCATGTCCACCTACCTGCTGCTGAGCACCGGGTACCAGCTGTTTCTAAACCTTCTGTTAGAGTGGCAAGTTTTAGATAATATGTTGGCATTTCTCTATGGGTATTTAACTTCTGGAAATGAAAAATGTTGTATAAATCTTGAGGAATAAAGTATAAATATTTTCTACTCTGTAGAAACTGTATATAACTTGAACCATAATCTTCATTTTTCTTTTTCATATTATTTTCACGGTATTATCTATTGTCTCTGTTTTTCTATTTAGTTCCTGAAGTTGCTAAAATGACATTTTACTTTAGTATTAGAAAATTCTTATTGATTACGGAGATATTTTAAGTCTCAAACATTGACTTAGAAGACTTTTAGTTCATTTTTTTATTTATGTTTTAATTGATTTTTTTTTAGAGAGAGAGGGAGAGGGCAAGAGAGAGAGAAACATCAATTAGAGAGAGAAACATCAATCAGCTCCCTCCCCTACCAGGGATCAAGCCTACAACCCGGGCATGTGCCCTGACCAGGAATTGAACCAGTAACCTTTCAGTTTGCAGGATGAGGCCCAACCAACTGAGCCACACCAGCCAGGACAAGAATTTTAGTTTTAGTTGCATTTCTTTTATGTGCTTTATATTATGCTTTGATTTATTCATTCTCTTTGAATTTAATATTTTCTTTTTATTTTTACTATTACAAGTATCATAGTCTAAATATGCCTTTTGATTCAGAAGACTTTTAATATTTTCCCAAAAGTTAAAGAATGCATGCCCTGGCCGGTTTGGCTCAGCGGTTAGAGCGTCGGCCTGCGGTCTGGAGAGACCCGGGTTCGGTTCCCGCTAAGGGCATGTACTTCGGTTGCAGTTTGTCCCCGGCCCTGGTTGGTCGCGCGGTGGCAGCCACTCGATGTGTCCCTTTCACGTCGATGTTTCTCTCTCTCTCTCTCTCTCTCCCTCTCTCCCTTCCTCCCTCCCTCCCACTCTATCTGTACAAAAAATGGAAAAATGTCCTCGGGTGAGGATAAAAAAAAAAAATTCTTCACTTGCTTTTGAATTTTATCTCCTTACTTAAATCCTTATGAGGATGAGAAATGTACACATTATCACAAACACGGAATAGAACAAACAAATTGAATAACCACCTCTCATAGTTTGGCCCAAATACAGGATTTGGTTTTAATTAGACTGAACCTAGGGATTCACCATTGTGCTGTCAATGGATTATTCCCACATTAGATGATTTTGTAAAGCCATTTTGTGTCCAAGACTTGGGTTCTTTTTTTTTGGGAAAACTCAGTTGTCCTAATTCAGAATTAGAAGGATGTTCTCAAAATCTTCCTAGTAGACCCTAACGTCCTAAGTAACCTGGATCCCAGGAGTTCTTCTATTCCCCAGATAAGAGGTGATCCAGTGGGTGCCAGACACCCTCTGACCAAGGCTCCCTACACATCCTGTCTTCATTTCTCTCTGCACAAACAGGTCTGGGCCACAGCAGTGAAGAGATGATATAAGCAACAGGGACATTTTTACCAGTTACCTGATAAGATCTTAGACGGGCTTGCTTTCCAACATAGAACTTTGAACTGTCAAATAAGACTTGAAGTCTGTCAGCATATTCTTACTTAAGAGTGATCAACATAATGAGACCCTAAAACTCTTCACCTTTTTTCCCTTTATTGGTGAAATTATAGAATAAGCAATTTAGTTATAATCAGACTCTATCAATATGTAAATGTGGATGTGAATCAGAATATATGCAGTTTTTGGTCTAGATAAGATATCAGAATATAAAATCATTTCTGTTCTAACCCACCATTTTGGAGAGACACATGAGTTGCATTAAGAGATCACACCCAGAGGTTGCCTTAGGAAGTAAATGTTTAGAGGGTCCAGAAACTTATGTATATTCTACACAGTCACTTAATAATCCATAAGCTCTTTTCTTTTTCTTTTCTTTTTTATCCTCACCCGAGGACATTTTTCCATTTTTTGTTCAGACAGAGTGGGAGGGAGAGAGAGAGAGAGAGAGAGAAACATCAACATGAAAGGGACACATCAAGTGGCTGCCACCCGCACAACCAACCATGGCCGGGGTCAAACTGCAACTGAGGTACATGCCCTTAGCGGGAACTGAACCCGGGTCTCTCCGGCCACAGGCCAACGCTCTAACCCCTGAGCCAAACCAGCCAGGGCATCTTTTTCTTTTTTTTAAATTCTCACCCAAGGATATATTTTCCATTGGTTTTTGTTTAGAGAGAGTGGAAGTGAAGAGGGAGAGGGGAGAGAGAGGAGAGAGAGAAACATAGATGTTACAGACACATTGATTGGTTGCCTTCTGCTTGCACCCCGACCAGGGCCGGGGATCAACCTGAAATAGCACAGTCTAATAATTTCAGTCAGTGCATTTTCAGTGTCAAATCAGTTTTGCAAAACAGTCCACGTGATTGTTTCACATCACCACTTTAGGTAACCTGGAGAGTTCTCTGGAAATTAGTGAATCATCAGAATTGTAGGATATTTACAAGAAATGCAGTTTTATTACTTTACAGAAAGACAGTGATAGTAATCCTAAATTCTAACAAACAGTGCATCCTTGATTTTATGAAGATTTGTTTTAAATTAGCATTTAATTATTTTTATCCAAATGGAGCTGTTGTAATACTTGAAAATAGTTCCCTTAAGTTGGTTAACTTTTCCTTCTGAAATCTTGTTTACATGATCCCTTACCACACTATAATAGGAAGTTAGATGCCTTTCAGCTCTGTTCGATTTGCAGAGACCAAACCAGCAGATTCCGATTTAGTATGATTTTATTATGTACACTGTGAGCCCATGATGACATTTTACCGGTGTTTCAGTTTATTAATTCAGATATGCAGACTTTATACAAGATATTGATTGTCTGAAGTCCCATAGGAAACTGTCTTTATCGGATTTCTTCATCTACATATTACAAAAAAAAGTAATCATCCTTTATAGTTTTTGAAAGGGCATAAATCTATAGCACTGTATGTAGAACTATAGAATTTATGTTTTTGTATTTTAGGAAAGAATAATTTCACATATAACTGCAACCATTTAAGAATTTACAGTCCTCTTCCACTCAGAGTACACCTTCTGGATTGAGTTAACCAACACGTGTTCTTTTCTTTCACCTCGCCAGTGTCCTGAGCACGAGACAGCCCTCAGGCAGAACAGCCAGTGTGCCCAGGTGTGCAGTCGCAGTCCGAGGCTGCTGCAAAATAAGGACTGTATTTTACAGTGTTAGACAGTTACTAAATGCCATGATTAAGTTATTTAAGTTGTGAATTGTGTGATATAAAGACTGACGAGAGAAAGAATTGCAGTAGGGAGCTGAGTCGGTGCCTTCCCGGACTCAAGGGGAGTTGAACTAAGTCTTAAAGCATGGCTAGCACACAGGTATTCGAAATCTTTGTCTTTCAATTATTTTTTTTTTTTTTAAAGCACTGTAAAACTAATATAGTCACATTTTGGGAGTAAGGATAAGGGGGAGATCATTTGTTAACCTCACCCCTTCCATCGATGCGGTGGTGTTTCCTTCCAGTCTTACCTCTGTATTTGTCTTTTTAGCATAATATTAATCAAAGTTCATGTGCTATTTTGTATCTTCTTTTTCCTACTTAACATTATTTTAAAAACATTTTCCCATGTGGCTCATAGGCTTCCTAACCATCATTTTCATAGATATTTAATAGTCTGTGATATGGATGCCCCTTGATTTATTTAGCCATTCCTCTATTTTTAATAATTTTCTTTATTTCCACTTTTTATGATCATATTTTGAGTTATGTTTTTATGCATATGTTTTTTACATAGTGTAGATTACTTTGTTCACTTCTCAGATGTGTAGCATTGGTGGGCCACAGGTAGGACTGTTGTTTGTTTTTACCTAAGAACAGTGCCAATTTCCAGTGGCACCATGGCCTTGGAGGGGCCTGTGTCATTCTAGTCCTCACACTATTGGCATTTTCATTTTAAAATAAGAATATCAAATGCTATTTTAACGGGTCAAAATGACCTAGCTTTGTATAACTTTCTGTGCTTGTTAAACTGATATTTTCTTGTGTTTGTATTGTCTCTTCATCCTTGGGCCTTCTAAGTCTTCTGGGCCAAGTGATGATGTGTGCTTTCTCACCCCAAATGTTCCTTCTGCCCAGTCTTTATTGCTTTAGTTTTATGATCTGTGGTAGAGTTTATTTTCTTTCTTTTGCTTTCTCATGTTTAGAAAATAGTACCATATGGAAGGAATAGAGTTCAATAGTTGAAAAAGTTGAAAGAGAAATAAAGGATTTTTTTTGCTTGTTTGCATTGGTTTGTTTGATTTTGTTTTGTGACTTCCAATTAGATAAGTAACTCACTCAACAGATGCTTGTGACCTAGGCCTACAGTGGTGACAAGACTGACACAAGGGTTGTCCAAACTAGCAGGGAGGCTCATAAGGAAACTATTAAAACGGTGTGAAGTACTGTCGCAGAGTTTTGGGGGTTACAAAAGTGGAACACTTATCACAAACCAAGGCCAGAAAGGATCAGAAAAGGCCTGTCACTGGGTTGTCTCATGAGCATTTCTCTTCTGTCCACTTTATACTCCAGCCTGGAGATGTGCCATCCTCACCTGTGGAGAGTAGGCTATTCTCTGTTCTTCACTTCGGTAGACAGTATTGCAGCAGACATCTTCCCAGGGGATTATAGTGCGAGTGTCTGATTGTGTTCTCAGGGAATTCTAGAAATGACGCTATCAGTTACAGCAGTGATTCTCAACCGTTTTCATCTCATGGCACACGTAAACTGATTACTAAACTTTTGTGGCACACCAAAAAATATATTTTTTGCCAATTTGACAAAAAAAATAGGTATAATTTTGATTCATTCACACCAGAGGCTATTGTTGTGTTGACTGTTGTAATTTTTTTTATTTGACTTTCTGAGGGAAAAGAGGTCAGTGTCCCTGACTAAATAGGTATTGCATGTTTTAAAAGTTCTTGTGGTATTCCTATACAGAGAGGATGAGTGTTCTTTTTTCATTATACGCTTGTCAACAGTATTTTTTTTTTACTTTAGGTAAATATGATAAGTGAATATGGTATCTCCCTGTTGTTTTAATTTCCATATCAGTGATCAGTAAGGTCAAACATTTTTATGTATTTATTGGCTCTTCTTTGTTGTTTTTGAGGGTTTTATGTTCTTGGATGGCAGCCATTTTTTTAAAAAACTTGGGACATTTGTCTTGCTTTTGTTCTATGTATGTTAATAATTTTAACTTGGGAATTGTCTTTTTACCTTGTTCTTAATTTTTATGTGTGTGAGTGTATATCTGTCATTTACTTTATTGATAATTTTTAAGTATCTTTACTATTTTAAACATGTCATGATCTCAAGATGTAATACATTTCCAAAAAAGATGGTGTTGGAGTTGATATTTAATGTTGCGTTTCTTTTCTACTTTTTTCTTCTGGAAAACCTAGAAAATTTCTGTTTTGTGATATTGTGCCTTAGAAATATTATTAAGATTGTTTTAATTTTGAAGAAGACCTCTCAGTATAAATTTGCATTTTAATTTAACGTTTTGTCTTTTCATTGTTACCCTCCTGCTTTCCCCCACCCACCTGTCTCGTAGGTATGAAGCCCTCTTTCCGCTAGTACTGTCGTGTTTGATGTTCATCTGGATGCACATGGAGCAGGAAATCCTGCAACTCTCTGGTGTTCCCTGTGTGCAGAAGGTAGCTTGTCAAAGTCACTGCTGCGGTCATTTGAGAATTAGAATACTCTCTATTATATAAGGATGTCGCAATGTGATTTCATTAAACCTCCTTTCTACTTAAAATTGTGTACTATTTAAGTCATTAGTAATTAATTTAATAATTAATAATTAAGTTAAGCAATTAGTATGTAAGGAAATTTTTTACTTCTAACAGAAAAGCATAATGTTATTGTTTTATGGATGGGCTTTTCTTAAAGATTATCTGAGAATCACTGATACAAGAAACATCAAGATAGGGAAGGAATGGAGGAGAAGCACTATTACCTTATTTTCCTCTCTTTACGTCTAATTTTTCTTCCTTTCGATTTATTTTACTTGGAAGAATATTTATGTTGTCATAAATCAATTCATGAATTTGATCATAGGGACATTTATGTTCCCTGGGTTGTTTTTCTCTTTCTAGTAATCCTAATCTAAAATGCTTCTTCTGTCACGTTAGTGATTGTGGTCTCAGACCAAATTTTGGACTGTTTTTCCATCACAGTATACTTTGAATTTCCTAAAAGCCAAGCAGATTTTTTTTAATCCTCAACTGAGGACATGCTTAGAGAGAGGAAGGAAGTGAGAGAGAGAGAGAAACAAACATTGATATGAAAGAGCTACACCAATTGGTTGCCTTCTGTACACGTCCCAACTGGAGCTCAAACCCACAACCCAGGAACGTGCCCTGACTGAGAATCAAACCTGCAACCTTTCAGTGCACAGGACGACACTCGCCTAACTGAGCCACTCCAGCTGGGCCAGAGCCAATCAGATCTTAAGGACATCTTTATTATCCTGAGACAGAGAGTTAAATTGATGTCTTTTGCCTTTTTTTAGAACTGATGTAATTATGAGAAACTGGTGATAGAATATTTACAGTTTTACTGAGGTCAGATAAACTGAATATTGCAGAAAAACTGTCATAGTTGATCTCTTCTTAACTGGTTCCAGTTGAGTTTATAGAGAGGAATTGATAATTTAGAATAATTAATTTTAATAAGGAAGAAACTTTATTGAAGTATATTGAATAATTACTGGTTTTTAACTTTCCATCCTGGAATATTAAAACAATACATTTTGATCAAATTTAAGTAAATGGTCAGGCTGTCCTTAATATTAAATATTAAAAATTTTAATATTAAATATTAAAATTTTTAATATAAACTTTTAAAATGAGGTTTATTGTGTCATTTTTTATGGCAGTTTTGTAACTAAAGCAGATCTTCCTTTTTCTAGAAACGAGTATTAAAGCATCCTAAGAACTTATTGGCCCAGTTACATGGAGAGTGGAGAACAGGGAAAGTCTCCGTTTAAACTTCCTCATGATTTTTCTGGGGGTGAGAGGGATTAAGCAAGAATGCACCCATCTTCTTGGAATCGAGTGACTATTTTACCAAAGACAGAAATATTTTGCTCTTTTATAGAGAGGAAATTATTACTCTACAAATAGAATTAACAGAAGAAAAGAAATAGATAAAAATTTAACTTTATTGTGCTATTTAATATCATACCATACCTGGTTTGAGAAGATCAGGACTCTGAGAAATCAGGGCTTAGAAAAGTGAAGAACTATATAGGGATTTAAAAGTGCAGCATTTATATAGGGTAGGAAAAAGCTCAATTCTCACTTTTATTACACATACAGCAATACTACAGTTCTGTTCAGTATATTATTAGAAATATTTTTGGCAGACTTTATTAAAGCGTGATTAAGCGATAGGGAAACATCGGTTGTTGATTTTGTTGTTGTTGTTAGCAAAAGGTATCTTTCTAGCAGTTGTAACTTAAAAAGTTTGCTTTGAGCGTAGAAGTAAGTGAGCTGTTACTCTGCATTCATGTGTTCCGTTCGTATTTCTCCCAGGTCACCAGTATCCATTTCTCCTACAATGCTGATACAACCCCGTTTCGACAGCTCTGTCTGGAAGACATCCGTAGGGCCTTTTTCCTTGTATCCTTTGTTTGGGCTTTTATTTACAGTTGCTACAGTCTCCCATTTAATGGAGTAAGAAGATGTGGGAGGCATTTCTGCCTATCACTTAATAGTGGTATTACCTTGGAGGACATTTAAGCCCCCTCTCAACCATAATTTTCTCATAGTTCATATTTTTATTTATTTTTTTAATATATTTTTAGTGATTTTTTTAGAGAGAGGAAGGGAGAGAGAGATACATCAATCGGCTGCCTCTTGCACGCCCCCTACCAGGGATCAAGCCCACAACCCGGACATGTGCCCTGACCAGGAATTGAACTGGGACCGCTCAGTCCATGAGATGATCCTCAGTCCACTGCGCCACACTTGCTGGGCATCATAGTTCACATTAAAAAAATTTTTTTGAAACTAGAAAGGCATAAAGAATGAAACAAATATGTGTGTGTGTATTTCTACCACCCATATATCAACAGTTAATATTTTGTCACACATGTCACACATTTAAAAAAAATTAAAACATTATAGCTAAAGTCAAAGTCTCAACTCCCAACTCCAACCTAATTTGCCTTTTTACGTGCAGTCTATACTGTAGTCATGTCATATCTGTCTCAAGGTTTTTGGATCACATCTGAGGCAATAGTGTGTGACAGTTATTAGAATTAGAAGTTTGAGAGACAGCGTGACAGAATGAAGTCTCACTTTGGGAAGGCTGGCTGACCAGCTTCAGGAAATCCACAGGGAGGTATTTCCTTTGAACCCGCCACTGCGCGGGCTGCCCCTGCGGCTGCAGAACGTCAGTGTGCCGTGCTGTCCTCCGCCTCTTGCTTCCGCCCTCAGTCTTGCCCTGTTTTTGCAGGCTCCTTCCACTCAGCACACACACATAAAACGCTGCTTTTCTTGACCCTGCATCTCCCTAAATTATAATCTCATCGTGTCTTTTCTGTTTATTTCCAAGCTCCTTGAAAGAAAAGTCTATAGTTGCTGCTACCTTTTCCTCTCCATTTATATACTTCTTGCCGCTAATGATTTATCTCTGATCCGAATAGCACACCGTCACTGGTATTTCTCTGTCGTTCACCTGAGATGTTCACCAGCTCTTCATTGTCTCCACAATAAAGTCCGAGGCTTTTTTTTTTTTTTATCCTCACCGGAGGACATTTTTCTATTTTTTGTTCAGGTAGAGTGGGAGGGAGAGAGAGGAACAGAGAGAGAGAGAGAGAAACATCGATGTGAAAGGAACACATCGAGTGGCTGCCACCCGCACAAACTGCTGGGGACAAACTGCAACCGTGGTCCATGCCCTTAGCGGGAACCGAACCCGGGTCTCTCAGGACTGCAGGCCGACGCTCTAACCGCTGAGCCAAACCGGCCAGGGCCGAGGCTTTTTATTACTGTATCACCAATCTGTATTTCCTGCTTCATTATTCACTGAATAGTCTGTAATAAGCCCTAAGCTTTTATCAAATCTATTTACTGTTTCTTGACTATGTCATTTATTTTCCCACTGTTTATCTTAAAATGCCCTCATATACTTCTACATACCATAATCTTAGTCACCATATGAGCAGTTGGAGGCTATTTTATTCATATTTATATTCTTAGTGCCCAGCTCTGTCTCTGATAAACACCATGTAATAAATGTTGGTTGGTTAGTTGATTGGTTGGCTAGATCCATGGGTACATTTAAGGCTTAAGTCACCAACTCAGTTACCGTTTTTTCAGGAAAAGCTATCATAAGTCACGCTTCATCTTCAGTGTTTCTATACCACTTCTGTCTATGTGTTGTTGGTAACAAGAAAACAGCTAACGTTTGTGGAGCCCTTTCAGTGGGCCAGGCAATATTTTAAGTACTTCACTACCAGTTACTTTTTAGATGCCAAGAGGATTAATATCTACTTATTTGTAAATTGATTTTAGAGAGGGAGGACGGGAGAAAGAGAAAGATTGACCCCCAGACCTTCGGGTGCCTGGGACAGTGCTCCATCCAGCTGAGTCACACCTGCCAGGGCAGCACCTACTTTCTATTTCAGTACGAATACAAATGTAAATTTAAGGAATTTCAAAAATATAGTTAACAGTTTCTCATGTCTCATTCTCTATTGAATTATTTTAAAACATTTATTTGTATAGTAGGCACACAGCAAGCATCTATGAACTGAAATAGTACTTCAGCTGAAATTGTCTGCTGCATGCACTATGTCTACACTCTCCTCTTGAAAGAAATCACTAGCGGCCAACCGTAGACACAATCATCCTGCTTGCTTATGTTAGAGAAGAGGAAAGTGCTAACCTTCCCAAGGATACTAGTGACTAGTGAGGATGCCCTCCCAGGTGTCATTGTTCTAGTCCACTGCCTCTTCAGCCTGGTTCTTTCTGAAGAAGGTAGGGTAGACCACTCCTTTACAGCACTTTCTGATCAAATGTACAACTGAGAAAGCAAATTGCCCTCATAGTAGAAAAGACATATCTTTTCTAAATGAAAAAAAAAAAAATGTATATGAATTCTGTCTTGTTTTGGCATTTCCTTAACTCTGTTTAGGTTTTCTTCTTAGTGACTGCATTTTTTGGAACTGGGAATATAGCTTCCATTAACAGGTAATTTTAAATGAAAACAATATATATATATATATATATATATATATATATATCTCCAAAAAGTAATGCAGATTGAGATTTTTGTACTTGCTTTTTATACCGAAGGATACGTTGTGGAGATTGGTATGTGTCGGCACATGTAAGCCTTTCTCATTCATTTTAGTGGCTTCATAATGTTCCTTGTATGCTCTTGTTTTAGTAAGTATAGATTTCAGGAAATTTGTTTAAACATCCTCTTTAGCAGACATTCTTTTAAAGTTACAGTGTGAATTCTAAAATCATTTTTCTTTATGTTGGTTCCTTAGCTTTGATCTTGCCTCTGTCTACTGCTTTCTGACCGTGTTTAGTCCTTTTGTGATGGGAGCCCTGATGTTGTGGAAGGTTCGTTTTCTTCTTTTCTTAAGATACTGATTTATTAATATGATGAACTCATTATAACAAGATTATGTAGTATTATGTGACATTAAGGTTACATATAGCCATTGTGACAAAGTTAAATAGCATGGAAAGAAGAAACCGTCTGAGACACTGCAGAACGGGAGGTGGGACCCTCTAGCCTTTACTCCAAAATATAATTAAATCTTTTTGCTTTACTCTTAAGCTCACTAAACTTCAAAAGAGTAGAAATTCTGTTTTAGTCCCAGGAAGTGCGATCAAAGGTGATTGAAACCTGTGGTGAAGCACAGTAAAGATCAAACTGCCTTGCTCCTCAAGACCTATGTTTCCCCGATCCATGCTCCCCACCCTCAAGACTGTCAGCGTGCTGTAATCTTTTCTCATCGTCCGTATGCCTAGAATGATTCATTCATTCAACAGATATGTCATTGACTGCTTGCATTCAGTAACATGCCAGGCACCAGCTGGGTGCTGAGGATACCAGTTATGACTAATTCTGGGTTCATCAGGGGTTCATACTCTCTGGTGGGATTTAATTCATGTGCTTTCCCTTTTTCTCTAGGGTCATTTAGCTCATCTTATTCTCATTGTCATAATGCCTGGCACATTTTACGTGGTTAGTACAGTCCTCGCTTTGGACTCCGAGGGGGATTGGTTCCAAGACCCCCACCCCTCTCACACGTACCAAAATCAATGGATGCTTTAGTGTCTTGTATAATGTGGTGTGGTATTTGCATGTAACCTATACACATCCTCTTGATTACTTTAATCATCTCTAGATTATTTATAATACCTAACACAGTGTGAATGCTGTGTAATTTGTTGTTGCAATGTTTTGTTTAGGGAATAATGACAAGAAAAAGTCTGTACATTTGCAGTACAGTTGCAACCATTGTAGGCCTAACTACATAGTACATATCAGCAACAGAGTAACTTCTTTTCCCCAAATATTTTCAATCCATGGTTCGTTGAAGCTGTGGATATGGAGGGCCAACTGTATGTTTAAATAAAGTAACTGATATCTGCCAAAAATCTGATTGCCTTCTGTTCAGATGACAGAAGTAATAATTATTAAAAAGATGTACCTCTTAGTAGGATTAATGTCCTTGTTTGTTTGTTTGTTACTACATTAATACAAATGTAATTTTGCCATTCTGTACCTTTCACACCTTCTTGTAATCATTTGACCATGGTCCTTAATATAATGAGTTAAGTGGAACAAACGTTTGCAATAGGTTTTATTTGGAATATGTTGATATGTGTTTTTTTTTAATTTTTAATTTTATTTTTCATTAATGTTCACCCAAGGATATTTTTCCATTGATTTTTAGATAGAGTGGAAGGGAGAGGGGGAGGGAGAGAGAGAGAAACATTGATGTGAGAGAGACACACTGATTGGTTGCCTCCCGCACGACCCCTACTGGGTTGGGATTGAACCTCCAACCCAGGTTGTGCCCCTGACCAGAATCAAACTCATGACCATTTGGTCCTTGGGCTGATGCTCTAATTGCTGAGCCAAACTGGCTGGGGTGATATTTGTTATTTTTTTATACTATTTATGCTACTGATGTAGTTTTTCTTTCTTTCTTTCTTTTTTTTTTGTATCCTCACCCGAGGGCATTTTTATATTCATCTTTCAGATAAAGCAGGAGGGAGAGAGGAAGAGAGAGATGTGAGAGAGACACATCGAGTGGTTGCCACCCATACAACCCAAAACGGGGCCAGGGACAAACTGCAACCAAGGTACATGCCCTTAGCAGGAACCAAACCCTGGACTCTCTGGTCCGCAGGCCGATGCTCTAACCGCTGAACCAAACCAGCCAGGGCTTGATGTAGATTTTTAAATCAGCTTCATCTCTGTTCTTATGTCACTGGTATCGCGGTTTTATTTAATTCATCATTTGCCCTTCACTAATATTGATAAAACTCATTAGAGAAATTGTAATATTTCCATAAACAGGAGTAACATTTATTTCAAAAAGCTTTTCAAATGCTTCGGCTACCAATGGCACCATTTGTTGTTCTTTTAAACAGATTTTTATCCCCTTTGTTCTTGTGATGTGTGCTTTTGAAGCCATTCAGTTAACTACCCAGTTATCATCAAAAAGGTAAGGAGAATGTTTAAGAACCATTGGATTTGCCCGCCTTTTAGAAATGAGAGTAAGCATTTGAGGGTATTTCATATGATTGTGGTTAAGACACTGTAACATAGATTGTTTATTATAAAAATGAGAAAAGCTACTTCACCCTTTTAGTCAGAGCTAGTTTTATTAGAGGAAATCAGTTCATTAGAGGCTCTAATAGACAAATACGCTTTCTCAGCAGTGAAATGTTATTAGAATATTATTCAAGCTAGTGAAGAGCCTCCTTACAAAACAGGAAAACATAAATGTTAAATTATTGTGGTGAATAATTTGTATGTTATAGATATAACTGTGCCTACAAAACAAGGGATCTCATTCTGTTTTGGGGGTTATTTCTTGAATATGTATTAGACAAATGTATTAAAATAATTTAATTTTGCACGGCTTGAAATTAACTTGTAAATGTCAGTTAGATACATGGTTTATTAGTCTTGAATCTACACATTTGACAAACGGAATGGAAAGCATTCTTTCTGGGTTTGGGGGAATTTTTGGAACAGTCCGTCTGAAGTAATCAAGCCTGTGGGAGAGAAGCTGTCAACTCTACTGTTAGCTTTTTAACCCATAAAATCGCCTCATCAGCACTGGACTGATCGGCCTCTCTGAAAAACCCTTGCGGTAAATGTGAAGCTTCTTAGCAGTCCCCTTATTCTTGAATCAAACTGGCATATTCAGTGCTGAAAGATGTAACTAATGTAGCATAAATTTGCATGTTCTTCATGATGAGTTTAAGCTAGAATTGGGTTCAGCATGTTATGCATGTGCCATCATAAAAAAGGAACAGATTCTTTTCTGCTGTTTTAAAAATAGTAGAAATCTGGTTTGTAGTTTAATTTTGTATATTTTTGCAGGATATTTACATAAATTTAACATTGAAAGTATTTATACCTTGTCAGTGTCACACAGAAGATAGTTACTTAGATGCAATAAAACTGGTAGTAATAGGTACTTTCTTGCATTTATTAATAGATACATTTTTTAGAAGAAATTTTAATGTTTAAATCAAAAGAGCTGGAAACATATGAAATGAGAAATAGAAAGCTCATGAAAATGTGTGTATGTATGTATATTTGTGTGTGTGTGCACACGTGCACACCTGCATGAACGTGTGTAGTAATTCTATCCTGAGACGAGTGAAGTGAAAAACTCAGCACAAAGGGAGAGAACTGAAGTAAAGTTGACAGAATTGAGGCTTTATAAATGTCTTTTTTGCCCTGGCCAGTGTGGCTTGGTTGAGCATCTTCCCATGCACTGAAAAGTTGCCCGTTCAATTCCCGGTCAGGGTACATGCCGGTTGTGGGCTAAATTCCCAGTAGGGGGCATGCAGGAGGCAGCTGATTGATGTTTTGCTCTCTCATTGATGTCTTTTTCTCTCTCTCCATCTCCCTTTCTCTCTCTCTAAAAATTAATAAACATATATATATATTTTTTAAATTCTCACCTGAGGATATTTTTTCATTTATCTTCAGATGGGGGGGGGGGAGAAACATCGATGTGAGAGAGACACATTGACTGGTTTCCTCCCACATGACCCAACCAGGGCCGGACCAAACTGCAACTGAGGTACATGCCCTTGACCGGAATTGAACCCATGACTCTGGTTCGTGGGTTGATGCTCTAACTGCTGAGCCAAACCAGCCAGGGAAACAAACATTTTTTTTTTAGATAAAAGAAATGATTCCATTTATACAGCACTCTTGAGATGGCAAAGTGATAGAAACAGGGAACAGATTAGTGGTTCCAGGGGTAAGGGTTTGACAGGAGTCATGAAGGGGTGGGTGTGGCTGTACGAGGATCACGAGGGAATTGTGGTGATGGGAGTTCTGTGTCTCGACAGTGTCAGCATCAGTATCCTGGTTGTGGTTCTGTGGTATGGTTCTGCAAGATGTTACCATTGGGGGAGACCAAGCAAAGGGCACATAGGATTCCTCTATATTGTTTCTTGCAATTGCATGTGACTCTACAACTATCTAAACGAAAAAATCACAATTCATATCCTTTTCATACTATTGAAATAAATATTCAAGGTACTATATGACATTTTTGAAATCTAGAGCTTTTGTCAAAACTAATATTTTCAGAAGCAAAAATACTGGCAATATTAGGTTATTTGATTATTCTCATTTTCATTTTAATGTGCTTTAAAAATGTGCCTGTTGTAGTATGTGTAATTTTTCTTTATTTTTTTCCAGTCTGTTTCTCATGGTTCTCGTCATATCTGACATTATGGCTTTGGTAAGACATTCTTGAATATTCAGTATAAATAAGATTGAGAAGCTAAGCACTGAGTTAATGTAATCAAGATAAACATGAGTGCATTTCTGTACATGAAATCTTTAGATATTGAGTTATATACGTGCTGGAATAATTTACACATATAAATTACTTTTTATATGACTTATGCAGTAAGAATACTCGTGTTAAGGTGTCAAAGTCTTTTTAATTTATTCGAATCTTATTTTGTACCTAGTTTTTCATGGTGCATTGTGTTTGAAATGAACTTCCATAGGAAGTTAACAGAAAAGCTAGCTATCTTTAGATTTAGGCAATACATTATTTTCCCACTTGAAATGTTGATTTGTTTTTTTTATCCTCACCCAAGCACATTCTTTTCCATTTTTTTTGTTCAGATGGGGGGGGGGGGCGGGAGAGAAAGAGAGAGAGAGAGAGAGAAGCATTGATGTGAAAGGGACACATGGAGTGGCTGCTACCCGCACGACCCAACCAGGGCCGGGGACAAACCGCAACCAAGGTGCGTGCCCTTAGCGGGAACTGAACCTGGGTCTCTCTGGACTGCAGGCCGACACTCTAACTGCTGGGCCAAACCAGCCAGGGCAGAAATAGAGCTTTACAAGTGGGAAGATGTTATCATGATGATAGTGCTAATAAAGGAATTCTGAGTGAGGAGCATGTAGGTGGGCCTCTTGTATGTTGTGTGTTAACAAAAGGAAGAACCTATTTTATACCTGCAAGTTCAGGGTTTCCCAGAACTACCCTCAGGTTTGAGAATTCACTAGTTGGACTCACAGAGCTCACCGCAGACTGTTCTGTTCACAGGTAAAGTGTATTGCAGGGCAAGGATACAGGCTGAAATCTGCCCAGGAAAGAGACAGAGGGCAGAGTCCAGGAGGGGTCCAGATATGGAGCTCTGGCCATCCTCTCCCTGTAGAATCAAAACAGTATTACTCTTCCAGCCAACGTGTGACGGTACACACAGAGCCCTGCCAGCCAGGGTCACCAGAGCCGTGGTGTCTACACTTTCCTGGGGCTCAGCCACATACTGTTCCCATGGCTAGCCTTTAATCTCCAGTGCTTGTAGAGGTAGAATGATAACATGCAGCCCAAAGCCCCCAACAAAAATCATTATTAAACTGTTCTGTTATTAAACTCGGCTGGTGTGGCTCAGTGGATTGAGCATCGTCCCATGGACTGAGAGGTCCTGGTTCAATTCCCAGTCAGGGCACATGCCCAGGTTGCAGGCTCAATCCCCAGTAAAGGGCGCACAGGAGGCAGCTGATCCTTGTTTTTCATCAATGTTTCTATCTCTCTTTCCCTTCCTCTCTCTCTAAAAAATCAAAAAAAAAAAAAAAAAAAATATATATATATATATATATATATATATATATATATATAAAAAACTGGTGACCAGAGTCCCCCAGGCTAAACATTCCTTATCAGACATGACAGTTCCAGGGCCCAGAAATCACCTCTCAGTAGCTGAGGACAAAAGCCAGGCCTCTCTTCACTGTGCAGCATCTTATGCTAGAAGTAATTAGAGACAGCAGCTACAGTAACTTCTCACTACAGTAATTTCCTAGTCATTTGATTTCCATGCGAGCATTTTTGTATTGTGTTGAACTGGACACTCGATGCAGGCACACACACATCTTGCAGGGTCACTTCCAGGCCCTCAATAAAGTGGGTATCACGATAAAGTGAGTCATAATCTTTTTGCTGGTTGAGGCCCTCTTGCCTTCCATTTATTAAACACACACACACACACACACACACACACACACTATCTGTGAAGCACAGTAAAGCAAAGTGCAATAAAACGAGGTATACTGTATATGTCTAGAATTGACCACCCATAATATTAGAACAAATCAGCTTTCAGTTTTGCTCACAAAGTGGCAAATAGGCAAGACATGTTAATAGAAGAGAATTTAAATTCTGATTTCAAATTTTATAGAAAGAGTCAGATTGCATAATTTAACTTAGAAAGTGATTTGTGTCTAGTTTCTGTTTACTTGGCAGACATCATGTCTCACCTGCCTCTCCTGTTTCCTGTACCCTGGCTACACCTTGGACCTGCCAAGCTCTACCTGGACCATTGGCGTTTATATCGCTTACTCCCTCTGTCAGAAACATCCCCCTCCTCACATCTCCGCATTCTCCTCTTTCATCTGACTCTTACTTTTTACTTAGAGTTTTAGACTTTTTACTGGGGCGGCCTCTCCTTACATTCCAGGAGGTGTACGTACGCCTTTCTGCACCCATAATGGCCTGTGTTTCATGGTGGTTGCACTCATCACACACACACAAAGACACACGCGCGTGTGTATCTGGTAACTTGACCACATTTTTTACTAGATCATATACCTCCTGAAAGAGCATTTATCCCCAGGACCTAACACAGTGACTGTCACAGAGTAGGTGGTCAGTGAATATTTGTTGATGAATGGTTGACATGGCTTCTTTTCACTGAGGTCTTTGGTATTATTTAATGCCTTTTATCAAAGTTGGTTTTCTTTATTTCTAGTTATTCACAAATTTTACTTTTGTGTTCACTTGATTGAATTGTAATGCTATCTCTGGCTTTTAGACTCTTGCTCCTTTTAGTCTAAGTAAAAAATTAATAAAAGGCATATGCTTATTGACTCCAGGCATATAGTGGCTCTGAAGGGTCAGAAATCTGAAATGCATAATCTAAAACAACACTGTTTTTTGACTGAACCTAAACAGCCTTTGTTTTTCATGGAACCATATTCTGTTTTATTTTATAGCATTTTTTCTTCTTGGTGAAGGATTATGGCAGCTGGCTTGATATTGGAACAAGGTATAGTATATGTTCACCCAGAAAGTCTTAAGAGTCCGGTGATAAAAGGAAATTGATATCTTAGTATGGAAGTTGCCAAATTGCTTTTTGAGGTAAGCTTAGCAAGTAGCAATTATTTAAAGCCTCTGGAAGTGAGACTCATCTCTCCTGTTCTCGGCATTAACATATTAGCACTTGTTTTCTTGGAATGATGTGTGTATAGCTGTTCGGTGTGGCGCGAACTACAGGACGTCGGGAAGGTGCAGGGGCACTGCCTGGGCCTGGTGTGCTGACATCACTCCGCAGTCTGTTTTCTCACAATCTCTCCACCTCTCTTTAGAAAAATGAAACTATTCCAGTTACAGTGTGAATTTTATGTGGCAGTTAGTTGCGTGTCATCATTATCTGCCTCCTGGAATCTTTGATATGAGAACATTTTAATGTGATACTTACAACATGGTTATATATAGGACAATCTGAATAAAAAGTCAGCTTCTTCTTTGTTGTAATTTGAATGCCAAGGATTGCCAGAATCTGTTACATTTCTTCTCTTCAAGAAGAAAGCAGAGTTGATCCTTTTGCCTTTTTGTTTTCAAATGTACTCGGAGATAGAATATATTTTTCTGGACTGATTTTATTTCAATTAATCAATATATATATGTTTAATCCTCATCTGAGGATATTTTTCCATTGACATTTTGGTGTTTTTTTTTTAGATAGAGCGAGAAGGAGGGAGAGAGAGAGAGAGAGAAACATGGATATGAGAGAGACATCAATTGGCTGCCTCCCACACGACCCCAAATGGGGATCAGGGCGGGGGGATTGAACCTGCAACCCAGGTATGTGCCCTTGACTGGGAATCAAACCTGAGACCCTTAGGTCTGGGGGCCGACGCTCTAACTGCTGAGCCAAACCGGCCAGGGCCTGATGTGAGACTGTGATGGCAGAAATCTGTATTGGTTTGATTCTAAACAGTGCCAAGGAATGAAAAAGATATACTTTCCGATGAAAATGAGTGGGATTGCCAGCTTCGAAGCCTAGCGATGCCCCGTGGCTGGAGAGACCCACTTCATCAGGATGCTGAGTGGGATTCAAGCACTGAGTGGAGGGGAGGGTCCTGACGTATAACTGAGGGTCATTCCAGTCCAGACGCTTGAGACCGACACCTGGCCCTGCTTTCGGGGAGATTGTGTCCAGCACAGGCTGTGAGTCCTGGTCATGACAGCGCAGGGGCACGGGCCATGTGAAGACGGAAGGAAGGCCACTCGGGCCTCAGTGACAGAACACTCACTGCTCAGGTCTGCATTTAAGCTGCGCCTTCAGTGGAGGATGTGATTTTAATTAGTGGTAGAGGTCTGCAAAGAATCTTTTAGACCGACAGAGTGGATATGAGCAAAGCTATTACGGTGAAAAAGCCCAATGCGTTCGTTTGTGAGGTGGGATAAATTACTTGGATTTCAGAAACCATAAGCTTTCTAGAAATTTCTAGAAAACAGCCTTTGAGAGCCTTACGTCGGACCTTGAATATGAAATTACAGTGTGCATTCTGCTGGCCTACAAGTGAGGAGCCATACTTTTTGGTTCTTCTGGACTTGAGTATTTTAGAAGGAATCATTGCCTGGGAGTTAGGCATCTTGACTGCCTTTGCTATACAAGTTATTCCGGGGGAGGCGGGGGGACCGTCTGGAAGTGGAGGCATGGGCTGAGCGAGCATTGCCAGGCCATTACAGCACTGTCCTACGTGTCTCCGGGCTGTTACCCCAGCACCAGTCGTCAGTTCCCTTCCGACGCCCCGAGTCGTTCTGTATGGCAAGCACAGCTCTCCTGCCTCTGCAGGGCCCTTCCTGTCCCGGGCCGAGGCCTCCACCACGCCGAGCACTTCGCCCCAGATCCGCTCGCCAGCCTTCACTCTTCCCTCGATAGTGTCATCTTCATTTTGAAAATTATGGTAACATATATATCTGTAACACAAAATTACCATCTTAACTATTTATAAGTACACAGTTCAGTAGTAAGTTTATTCACATTGTTGTGCAACCAATCTCCAGAACTTTTTTATCTTGCAAAACTGAAATCTATACCCATTAAACAACAACTCCTTATCCACCCCCCACCCCCACCCCCAGCTCCCGCCCCAGACCCTGGCAACTGCCATTCTAGTTTCTGTCTGTATGAATTAGGCTGTTCCAAGTACCTTATCGAAGTGGAATCACAAAAGATTTGTCTTTTTGTCACTGGCTACTTTCACTTCAGTGTCAAGGTTCAGCCATGTGGTAGCATGTGTCATGGTTTCTTTCTTTTTGAAGGCTGGATAATATTCCATTTATGTATATATCATATTTTGCTTATCCATTCATTTGCCAGTGGACACTTTGTTGCTTCCACCTTTTGACTGTTGTGATGCTGCTGCTGTGAACATGGGTGTGCACTACCTGTTTGAGTCGAGTCCCTGCTTTCGGTTCTATCGCATGTATGTACCCAGAAGTGGGATTGCCGGGTCACATGGTAATTCTGTTCTTCAGTATTTGAGAAGCCTCCATAGTGTTTCCCATAGGAGGCTCACTTTTTACATTCCTACCAACAGTACGCACGAGTCCTGATTTCTCCACATCCTCACTACCCCTTTCTGTTTTTGTTTTTTATTTTTTTTTATAGTAGCCATCCTGATGGGTGAGAGGTGTATCTCTTTGTAGTTTTGAATTGCATTTCCCTAACAATGTTAAACATTTTTCATATACTTGTTGGCCATTTGTATGTCTTCTTTGGGGAAATATCTATTCAAATCCCTCTTCCATTTTAAAGTGGGTTATTTGTTTTTTTTTTATTGTTGGGTTGTAGGAGTTCTTTGTATATTCTGCATATTAACTCCTTATCAGATATATGATTTGCAAATATCTTCTCCCATTCTGTAGGTTGCCTTTTTCCTTTGATGCGCAGGAGTTTTGAATTTGAATGTAGTCCACTGTAGCTATTTTTACTTTTGTTACCTGTGCTTGCTTGACTATTTTCAAAAGAGGCTTTGAGCCATTGCAAAACTTGCACGTAACATCTGCTGTGACGTTCTTGGCACTTATGCGGTGCCTCCAGCCCCATTCCTTGCACCCCTTCATACAGCTATTATGGGAATAACGTGGTCATCAGAGAGGAGGTAATAGCAAAAAGAGAGACTGCAGAGGCATAAAACAAACCGTGAGCACCATTCACGCCGAGGGAAACAGCGGGAGCATTAGCAGTCACGGAGAACGCTGTGACGGTCCCACTCTGCAGTGCGCGCCCGAGAAAAGGGTGTGAACTCGTGTCAGTGCTTTATTGGCTTATGATACATGTTAAAAACTACGTAATTAATTAATGCTAGACAGGGTAAGAACTGCTGTAGAAACATTTCTGGCTTTTTACAGTGGGAGCTGACCTACACCTACTGTGACCATATGTCCGAGTTTACCTGGAATGGTCCTGGTTTATGCCTGTTGTCCTGGTGTATTCATCACACCCTCGTCTGTACAACAATAAAAGTCTGAAGTGGATGGGAGGTTATAAAGGCATAGCAGGTTAGTAAGTTATGTTGAGACCTCAGTTTATCTCAGTTTCAGTGCTTCATCTTTACGGGTCTAACTCCCATAGGTTAAATGGGGTGCTAGCCCTGAGAGACTTCCTGCAGGCAGATATAATCGAGAATTCCAGAGCTCAGGCTGAGGGCACTGACCAGCGACACAAATCCCCCACATGCTCTCTCGGTCATTCCTGCTGAAATAGCTCCTGCCCTGCTCCATTTTCGTCTTCCCTGTCTCCTACTGTACCATCCCAAAGATGCCTACTTAACAAAGGAGGATGATTGCAGAAGTCAGGACAGGGAGAAATGAAACAAAGCCTGCGTCAGTGAAATGGACTTTCTAAAGGGAATTGCCCCAGTTGATGCTGCAAGGTGAGGTTTTTGCTGCTGCTCTTGTTGATAAGTTAGAATTCTAGACCCTTCCCTGCATAGCCTGTACAGCAGTCACGGCATGTAGAGCCGCCGTGCGGTGCAGGTCTGAGGTTGGAGTGGTTCACGCATCTTCATGAGCGTCGAACTGAGTGCCAGGGAAAGGCTTGGCTAATGGGGGCAAATATGCTTTACGATTCAAAACAAAAACGCCGTATAATAGGGTTCACATATCAAAACTTCATTATTCTACCTTTTTCTGCTCTTTATTTGTGAGAGTGTTGCTTTTAAGTTCTGCTTTTCTAATTATTCCTATGGGAATGTCTATTCAAAGAGCTGAGATGCTTCTGGTCTTGTTGCAGATAATTCAGCTTACTGGAGCTCCCTTAATGGGCACCTAGGTAATCTGACATATTGTATTTCTGAACTCTTCTGTATGAGTGATACAGTTCCCAACATCAGCTATTTCATGCCTGTTATTCAGAGCAGTGGAATGTGGTTCTATGATTTTTACTAATGTATTGCTTTATAAATACAGAGATGGTGAAAATGTGTCCCAGCATTTTGGAGAGGAATGGGAGCTAGCCAACCCCATGAACGTAGTCTGGCGTGTATCTGGAATATTTACAGTGTCGTCGTGGTGACTGCAGTGGGTTTTCAAAATAGTTTTGAGAGATTCCTCAGCTGTTAGTTTCAGGTTAATAAATAGTGGTTTCCTTTTTTATTTTTTAATTCTCACCCGAGGACATTTTTGCATTTATCTTCAAATAAAGCAGGAGGGAGAGAGGGAAGAAGAGAGAGAGAGAAACATTGATGTGAGAGAGACATCCACTGGTTGCCACCCACACAACCCCACCAAGGCCAGAGACAAACTGCAACCGAGGTATGTCCCTTAGCGGGGACCGAACCTGGGACTCTCTGGTCCACAGGCAAACACTCTAACCGCTGAGTCAAACCGGCCAGGGCAATAGTGGTTTCTTTAAAAATAAGAGTACAGTATGTAGGCATGAGACAGTATATCTGTTTATTAGTTTAGTCCAATAGGTTTCAAATGCATGTTCAGAGCAGGTTTTTGCAGAAGGATATTGAGACTCTTAAAGGG